TAAGAACAAATGGCTTATTTAGATTTAAATTTTTTGCAGTGTGGAACCGGGTTTTCTTTGAGGTGATAAAGGGTTCAGTCTTTTCCAAGCAGCATCGTGTTAAGAACAACTTGACATTTCAGTTTCTCCGTAATCACATGCTTTCAGTGTTGGTGCTGTAGAGGCTGTGCCTGACACAAGGATGTTTTTTTTAAAGCTGCTTGACATTTAGTTTTCTTTTATCTTGGAAGGGCATAGTTTTTGTTTTTTACTACTTATTTTCTTTCCATCTAATTTTGAGATTGCAAAATATATTTTAGAAAGTAGCTGAACCGTGATGCTGTATGAAAAATGACCATGACAGCTAAGACTTAAATATATCCTGCTTTTATGTGAGTTCCTTAATCAATATGTTATGTTAATATTTTTCAAGTGAGGAGGAGGTTTAAAAAGTAGAACCTAATAAACCAGCACCACACCCAGGAAATTAAGTCTAATGCTCCGAGTGCAGGAGTGTTGGGTGAATCATGAACATGAAAGCCGGGCGTACACGCAGCTATAGCCAGGGGTGGAAAGTAATAAATTACATCTACTCACGTTACTGCAATTGAGTACTTTTTATGAGTAATTTGTAATTTTCTGAGTAGTTTTTGAGATTTGTGTAATTTTTACTTTTACTTGAGTAAATTTTAACCTAAGTAGTTTTACTTCGCTACATTTAAAACCCCCTCACGTTAAAAAATAGTAAAAAAAAAAAAAAATTACAAATTAAATGCGGCCGGAAATTTAAACCCCTGCATCACGGAACCGACGCTTAATCGCCATTAAAAAATAGAAGAAGACTTTTAACAGCACTTTACACTGAAAAAAAATCTAAATCTAGATTAGTAATTTTTTCTTGAAAAAGTTGCATTTGTTCTTGGATTGAGGAGGTAAAACAGACATTTTGCCAATGGAACAAGACCATTTACACTTAAAATAAGAAAAAACTATTGAATTTTTCTAATTTCAAGTGCATATTTTCTAATTATCCTATTCTAAGAGTAAAAATACTCATTTCATTGGCAAACTATCTTATTTACCTACTTAGAATAAGGATAAATACACTTAATTTAAGAAGTTTTTACTTATTTCTAGATAGTTTTTGCAGTGTGGAAAAAATGGAAATCTAAATAAGTCATTTTTTCTTAAAATAAGTGCATTACTTCTTGGATTGAGGCGGTAAAAGAGACACATTGCCAATGGAACAAGACAATTTACACTTAAATAAGAAAAAAACAATTGCATTATCTTATTACAAGTGCATTTTACCTAAATATCTTCTTTTAAAATACTCATTCCATTGGCAAATCATCTTATTTACCTACTAAAATTAATGGCAAATACACTTAATTTAACAAATGTTTACTTATTTCTAGATCGTTTTTCCAGTGTATTTACACAATTCAAACATATAAGCAATTGATGTAATACAAGTGCCAGTTAAAAATCAGTATTAAAGTAAAACAAGTGTCAGTTAAAATCATTAAATGAGGAGCTTGTTAATAACAGTGGGATCCTGTTGCGTTTTAGTTTGATTTCTGGTATCTTTTGGGCATTTAATTTTGTGTGCATTTTGAAAACTTTAAAACGTAGTTTAAATGTCTTTATTCCTATTATGGTGTTGTCTGTTGGACAGTAGGATTGAAAATAGTTTGCACTTTATGGTTCAGGTTGTGACTGTCCTTGTGCTGTGAGGAAGTATGTTCTTTAGCCCAGCTGATCTTTTGCAGTGTGGATTTCCACATAAATACGCCTTGAAAACACCTTGTGCTCAATTCGATTCATGACTCATCGTTTTTTGCATTAAATAACTCAAAGTAACTAAGTAACTTTTACTCAATTTACATTTTAAATGAAGTAATTTTCTACTTTTACTTGAAATTTTAAGTAAATTTTGAGATGGGTAATTTTACTTTTACTCTGAGTAGAATTTAGGCAAAGTAAAGATACTTTTACTCAATTACAATTTTTTAGTACAGGTGCTGGTCATAAAATTAGAATATCATGAAAAAATAGATTGATTTCAGTAATTCCATTTAAAAAGTGAAACTTGTATATTATATTCATACATTACATACAAACTCATATATTTCAGATGTTTATTTTGTTTTATTTTGATGATTACAAATGACAACAAATGAAAATCTCAAATTCATCATATCAGAAAATTAGAATATTACTGAAGACCAATAAAAACAAAGGATTTATAGAAATGTTGGCCAACTGAAAAGTATGAACATGAAAAGTATGAGCATGTACAGCACTCAGTATTTAGTTGGGCCTCCTTTGGCCTGTATTACTGCAGCAATGCGGCGTGGCATGGAGTCGATCAGTCTGGGGCACTGCTCAGGTGTTATGATAGCCCAGGTTGCTCTAATAGTGGCTTTTAGCTCTTCTGAATTGTTGGGTCTGGTGTATTGCATCTTCTTCTTCACAATACCCCATAGATTTTCTATGGGGTTAAGGTCAGGAGAGTTTGCTGGCCAATTAAGAACAGGGATACCATGGTCCTTCAACCAGGTACTGGTAGCTTTGGCACTGTGTGCAGGTGCCAAGTCCTGTTGGAAAATGAAATCTGCATCTCCAAAAAGTTGGTCAGCTGCAGGAAGCATGAAGTGCTCTAAAACTTCCTGGTATGTGGCTGCGTTGACCCTGGACCTCAGAAAACACAATGGACCAACACCAGCAGATGACATGGCACCCCAAACCATCACTGACTGTGGAAACTTTACACTGGACTTCAAGCAACGTGGATGAAGTGCCTCTCTTCTTTTCCTCCAGACTCTGGGACCTTGATTTCCAAAGGAAATGCAAAATTTACTTTCATCAGAGAACATGACTTTGGACCACTCACCAGCAGTCCAGTCCTGTTTCTCTTTAGCCCAGGCAAGACGCTTCTGACGCTGTCTGTGGTTCAAGAGTGGCTTGACACAAGGAATGCGACAGCAGAAACCCATGTCTTTCATACGTCTGTGTGTGGTGGTTCTTGAAGCACTCACTCCAGCTGCAGTCCACTCTTTGTGAATCTCCCCCACATTTTTGAATGGGTTTTGTTTCACAATCCTCTCCAGGGTGCGGTTATCTCTCTTGCTTGTACACTTTTTTCGACCACATCTTTTCCTTCCCTTCGCCTCTCTATTAATGTGCTTGGACACTGAGCTCTGTGAACAGCCAGCCTCTTTAGCGATGACCTTTTGTGTCTTGCCCTCCTTGTGCAAGGTGTCGATGGTCGTCTTTTGGACAACTGTCAAGTCAGCAGTCTTCCCCATGATTGTGTAGCCTATAGAACTAGACTGAAAGACCATTTAAAGGCTTTTGCAGGTGGTTTGAGTTAATTAGCTGATTAGAGTGTGGCACCAGGGGCCATCAATTTTGAACCTTTTCACAATATTCTAATTTTCTGATATGATGAATTTGAGATTTTCATTTGTTGTCATTTGTAATCATCAAAATTAAACAAAATAAACATCTGAAATATATGAGTTTGTATGTAATGTATGAATATAATATACAAGTTTCACTTTTTAAATAGAATTACTGAAATCAATCTACTTTTTCATGATATTCTAATTTTATGACCAGCACCTGTACTCTTTCCACCTCTGGCTATAGCTCACACTGTACGACGAAAACCTGCAGTTTCACTCTGATGCGATCTACCTGCTCACACTGTACGTCTAAAAACCAGGTGGGACTCAGCTCCGCAGTGAGATGGCGCTACTCGGACTCGTCTATCTGGAAGCCAAACGAGTAGAAGAGGAACATGAAGCTCACTAGAGGGAAACGCGCTGCCTTGGATATTTGGGCAACTTTATGCTAAAAGCCCTAAAAAGAAAAGGAGACGACGTATTTGGACAAAGACATGGCTGAGCTAACGTGGCTACTACGGTCTGTCAATTTTACAGACAGAACTCCATTTCACTCATTGCCCCCCCGCCATGCTGCTGGGTTTACATCTGAGGGGAAGAAGAAGAAGAAGAATCCTTGTTTGCCCACTGAGAGATTTGTCCACGACCACCTTACGACGGCCGACTGGATTTCAAACATGTTTGATTTTCTCCCGACATTACGATTCCTGATGGGGAGGTGGTCGTTAGGGGCTGATCGCCCCTCGTTACCCCCTGCCTGATCGAAAAAGTCTCACACAACCTTAAAATCTGCCCAAAATCGTACAGTGTATTCGATTCAATTCAGTTTATTTCTATAGCGCTAATTCACATCATGTCATCTCAGGTCACTTTCCAGTTCACCAGATCATCCAGTCAGATTGATTCAAAGTTTTCTATCGAAGGAAAACCAGCTGATTGCATCGACACTGCAAAAACGATCTAGTAATAAGTAAAAACTTCTTAAATTAAGTGTATTCACCCTTAATTTGAGTAGGTAAATGAGATAGTTTGCCAATGGAATGAGTAATTTTACTCTTAAAAATAAGATAATTACATAATATGCACTTGAAGACAATGCAATTGTGTTTTCTTATTTTAAGTGTAAATTGTCTTGTTCCATTGGCAAAATGTCTCTTTTACCTCCTCAATTCAAGAACAAATGCACTTATTTTAAGAAAAAATTAATTATCGAGATTCAGATTTTTTGCAGTGGACTCATTGACTCTTCAGCAATCCCTCACACTAAGCGTGCTTGTAGCGACAGTGGAGAGGAAAAACTCCCTTTGAACAGTAAGGAGCCTCCAGCAGAACCAGGCTCAGTGTGAGCGGCCATCTGCTGAGGCCCACTGGGGTTCAAGGAGACAGAAGCAGACATAGAAAACGAAGCATAGATACAAAAAGCAACGGTAAAAGGCGGCCCCGTCCAGGAAACACACAGCCAGGCAGACGAGCTCTGAGCCAGCTCCCATGTCAGACGATGAAGAGAGCACATCCAGTTAGTCACAGTCAGGCAGAGATCGTGAATTGGTGCTATATAAATAAAGTGAATTGATTGACTGACTCATGCTGTTTATTCCTTTTTTTTATTAGATGGTGGTTCTGATGGACCCAATGGAAGATCCAGATGACATCCTGCGTGCCAACCGCTCCAGGGAGAAGACCTACATGTTCGACGTGGCGTTCGACTTCTCGGCCAGCCAGGTCAGTTAGAAAAGGAAGCTCAGATGAACGGAAGCCAGGAAGAATCTTTGCTGCGATTTCATTTCTGTTGCTTTCTCTCATTTTCTGCAGGAAGAGGTTTACCGAGCTACAACCAAAGGGCTCATTGAAGGCCTCATATCAGGATACAATGCCACCGTGTTTGCCTATGGACCCACAGGTTGGTGTTTCAGTCTGAATGTGTGTGTGTTGGACAGGAACCGGGTCACATGGGTTATTTTTCTCCCCCTCTGCTGAATTAGTCAGCTCCCTCTCCAGAAGAGGAGGTGAAATCTTATTGAAACTTGTTTTTCTTTCATTCAGTCCAGTTATAATAAGAAAATGAGTCATGCTTTGCCCTAAGATGACTTCTTTTTTGGTTTGCAAAGACTAGCTGAGCTGAGCAAGGACACATTGAAACATTGACTTCCTAACCAAACAGTAAAGATCCCACAGGAAGTGATGCGTCACCTTTTTAACTTTGCTTTTAGATTTAAATTTTTGAATCAGAATCTGATTTATTTGACCCTTTTTACTGTTAGACTTTGATTCCAGTCTGCAAACATACGTATGCATCTTTATTTCTTTAAGAATTTTTAAAATTAAATACAAAAAGTCGACTGAGGAAATGATAAAACATGCATTTGTACAAGACATTAGCTGGCTTTTCATTGTTTTGGCCAAAGTGATGAAGACCTGTTGTTGAGCATCCAAAGCGTCGCTGTTGGCTCTGTAGCATATCCGTCTTTTCCCGCCTCTAATTGATTTTTACTAAGCTCCATCAATCTTCCTTCGCATGCTCAAGAAAAGCCTTCCCACAGCATGATGCTGCCACCGACGTGTGACAGCTTGGGAACCAACCCCACAGGCTGCTTCGGATTATTAATTCATCCGTCAGTTAAGATGGTGGAAGTTTTACTGTTTTGTCAGAATGGTTACTTTAGTTGTGGATTGATGTTTTTTTTTATTATTATTATTTCCCAGTTTAAATTTCTTTCCAACTTTCTCCAGAGCTGTATGCTAATTTCTTCTCTAATGAAAATGTCACTAACTGTCAAGAAACGTGGACAGATGGACCCAGTATTCAAGGAGAGACAGTCAGTAGGAAAGTTCAAAAAGGTTTATTAAATTAACAAAAACTAAAGCGGAGCTGCGGCTCGCGGACACTGCAGGATGGGGAGCGGGGCACCGCCCAATCACAGACACTCTGGTTTTACAGTCCAGACCAAGAATGTCCCCAAGTGCTGCAGTCCCAGTGGACATGCTGGAAGCCGATCCTGGTCAGGAATCCAGAACAGACAGGAACAGGATCCAGATCAGGCAGAACCAGAAACAGGAGGCAGGATCCAGACTTCCAGGCATCCACAGGCTCCCAAGAGGGTTCAGAGTCTGACAGGGTCCGAAAGCGTGACCAGGTGGTCACGCACAGGAGCAGACAGGATCAGGAAGAGGGTAGCCGAGACAGGACGTGGAACCAGAACTTGATGCAGGACTTTAAACTGGTCTCCTCCCTGGAGCCAGGCTTACTAGGATAAAAATTGACCCTCCGCGCATATAGAGCCGAAAACCCAGAGGACTCAGCAGGGGAGGAATAGTGGACGATCAGGAGACGAGACAAACACAAAACACTCTTTCCACTGGCTGCCAGGATCCAGGACATGAACCAAGAAATAAACTGAACAGACAGGCAAACAGAAAAACTGTTAATGATCTGGCCCTGAATGCTCAGGCTGAACTGAATAAAACCAAGAGGAAACAGGTGAGAGGAATGAATTATGATTGAGGCAGGGAGGGAAAACGACAGGTGAAAGGAATGACTAATTAAGGAGGAGCAAACAGGCCAGATCATGACACTAACAAACATTCAAAGACTCGAAGAGACTTTATTTGTTGCCCAGCCTGGAGCGGCACTCCAGTAGGGCGAAATTTCCATTTCAGTAGAGTCCATCCAAGAAAAGGCAAAACACACAGAAAGACAATACAGAGACACGGGGGGACGCGGTGTCCGTGCTGCGGTAAAAAAACGCTGCCCTTGCAGTTTGAAAATTGAAACTGTTTTTTCTTTCATTCAGTTGAGGTATAAAAAGAAAATGAGTCATACTTTGTCCTAAAATGACTTATTTTTTGGTTTGCAAAGACTAGCTGAGCTGGGCAAGGACACATTGAAACAGGGACTTCCTAACCAAACAGTAAAGATCCCACAGGAAGTGATGCGTCACATTTTTATAGCAGTTTGATTTATATTTTAGAATCAGAATCGGCTTTATTTGACCCTTTTTACTTTTAGACTTTGGTTCCAGTCTGCAAACATACCTATGCATCTTTATATCTTTTAGAATTGTTAAAATAAAATTCATTTCTTGCTGCTGCCTGAAGGAAATCATTTTCATTTTCAGATTAATACAGTTATTCTGGAGGAGATTTATCAGTAAAACATATTTTTTTTCCCTCACTCACTCCTGCAGCCAATTTGGCCTCTTTGTGCGCTTTTCACCTCCAGAAATGGTTCTGCTGGGTTTCAGGTTGTGGGAAGACGTACACCATGCTGGGCACTGACAAAGAGCCAGGCATCTATGTTCGCACACTGAATGACTTGTTTCGTGCCATCGAGGAGACCAGCGACGACATGCTGTACAGCGTCTCCATGTCCTATTTAGAGGTAAGTCCTTCATTTCCCATCAGGCACAAAGGCATTACCTTTAATTCCATGATGAGAGGCTGATGGCATCAGTGCTGCAGCTGTTTTACTGCCTTTACTAAACTAATTGTTTTTCAAATTCAATTCAATTCTATTCAGTTTATTTCTATAGCTCTAATTCACATCATGTCATCACAGGTCACTTTCCAGTTCACCAGATCATCCAGTCAGATTGATTCAAAATTTTCTATCTAAGGAAAACCAGCTGATTGCATCGACTCATTGACTCTTCAGCAATCCCTCACACTAAGCATGCTTGTAGCAACAGTGGAGAGGAAAAACTCCCTTTGAACAGGAAGAAACCTCCAGCAGAACCAGGCTCAGTGTGAGCGGCCATCTGCTGAGGCCCACTGGGGTTCAAGGAGACAGAAGCAGACATAGAAAAAGCAGCTGTAAAAGGCGGCCCCGTCCAGGAAAATAACCTCCTTATTTATCTCTTAAAACACACTAAATAACCATAAATATTGCTCCAAATTTTTGACTGCTTAAATTTACAAACTGCGCCCGATGTAAATACTCTGGTGAGAACCTGTCTATGTACTGTACAGTATATGCACAACAAAAAATGCCTTCTAAAAAATAAGAACAAATATAGGGTCTTAAGTGAATAATTACTTATTTTGAGCAAAATAATCTGCCAGTGCAGCAAGCAAATGAGACTTGGTAAGATTTCTTCAAACAACAACATAATATCCAAGTAGTAAGCATCCAAAAAAACTTAAATCAAGTAGAAAAATCTATTTTTTCTTTTACTCGTTAAGATTTTTTGTCTTATTTTAAGCATTTTATTCTCATTTATTAGTCATTATTGCTTAGAATTAAATGTCCTCTAACCAATTATTGCTCAAAACAAGCATCCAACAGGCTTAAAAACAAGGCAAATGTCCTTGATACCAGTTCATTTAAAGGCTTAAAACTAGTCTGTTTTTCTTAGCTAGAATTAATTTCATTATTTAGATGTAGTGAATGTATGGGAAAAATACACTTGACAAAAACTTAAAAACATTTTTTATTAATATTTAAGCAGCCCCCCTCCAAAAAAAAAAAGGTGAGGGCTGCACAGGCCAAACAATGAAGAGATGGTGATGTAGCAGTATAGCTACCCTCTACTCCTTCTATTCATTCTAGCTAATCTGAATCGTTCAATTCCATCTGGAGAGCGAGATCATCTGTGGTAGCAGCACTAGACATCTTCCAGGCATGTGATGAAAACTAGCAGCAGTTCAGCGGACAGGATGAATAAATGGTAGCCGGCGAGTGTGGATGACGTCATACAGGCGCCGCTTCGTTTTCAAAAGATAAAAATATGAAAAATATAACTGCTGATGTCTGGGGGACAGTGATTCGCCTACATGTTCTGAATGCTGGCGTACCATAAATGATAAATTATGAGCAGTTTAGTTTCTGCTTCAAGTCGTTGCCCATAGGAAGACGTTACTGGGATATAACCTAACCGAATATCTTCAGAACGGCTCCAACTGCACAGAACTCATATAGCACACTGCAAAAGCGATCTAGAAATAACTTAAAATTTCTTAAATTAAGTGTATTCACCCTTAATTTGAGCAGGTAAATGAGATAGTTTGCCAATGGAATGAGTAATTTTATTCTTAAAATGAGATAATTAGATAATATTCACTTGAAATAATGTGTAAATTGTCTTGTTCCATTGGCAAAATGTCTCTTTTACCTCCTTAATTCAAGAACAAATGCACTTATTTGAAGAAAAAAATACTTATCTAGATTTCGATTTTTTGCAGTACATGATGTAATAACGTAAAATCAAGGGCCAAATGTAAAAAAAAAAAAACGGCGTTTCCCTTTAAGGCAGAGCTTCTATTATAATAAGCATGTGTATGATGTACAGTAGTTATGATGTATTGTAAACAGTGAATGGTCCACTGGTGAGGTTCAGAATCTCAAAGCTAAACCATGAATGACAATCTCAATGACCCTATCAATTTGAAAGCAATCACAGTTGATTAGCTGGAATATCTTAATGAGATGTGGTCAGTTCTTAAAACAGGTTAATATGGATTGTTTTATTGTCTTGAAACAAGTAAAAATGTACTCACAGTCTAAATGTTAACACGACTCAGTCCGCAATGTGAGCTATTTTAAGAAAAAAGCTGCTCAGAATTAGTTTTATTATCTAGTTAGGATTAAAAAGGTGAATTTTCTTAAAACATATCAAATAATCTTAACAATATTCAGTCTTACTAAGAAAATACATTGAAAAACATGTGTAATAAGACCAAAATGCTGAATTCAAGTTTATTAAACTTGTATAGATTTTCCTTTTTTGCAGTGTGCACCTGCCATCCGGTCAGGTCTCCTTTTGCATCTGTTGCGTCATTGGTGCAGCAGTGATATGGACTTTTGCGATCACATTTTTTCCTTCCACTCAACTTTCTAATGACTCACTTTTGACAAACTATGAACTCGACAGTATTCATAATTATACAAATAATAACATCACCTTTCATTTAAAGGTCCTTTTTTTAGAGACAAGAATTCAACTTTTGTAGAAGTTTATTTGTAATCAGCTGTCGGCCAAAATCAGATAACCGATAAGTAGCTGAATACATTTTCTCTTGTTTGTTTTGCTAAGAGTTTGATTTTTTTAGTTGAGACAGAAATCAACTTTTCAAAGATATTCTAATTTTTTAAAAGTCAAGAGGTAAATTGTCACCAACTTCTCCTTAGGGAAAATAAGTGATGGATGCTTTTATTAAAACAGTGAGAGTTTTTTTTTATTTTTATTTTAAAAAACAGAAAATTCAGGACTGTGACAAAATGATTAAAAGCTTTCAAATCAAATTGAGATGAAAGCAGAAACAGGATCCTGGAAGTGACAATTTGATTTGAAGACTAATTTATTCGTCAAACTCACCTCGAGCCGACTAAATGCTCCAGAGGCTTTCCTTCATGCTGACGGCTTAAACGCTCGGTTATTTTTTATTTCTCATATAGGATGTCAGCGGGGGGAGAGGAAAATGATCTGTGATGCCACCAGTGCAGAAAAGTGCTTTCATAAACAACGTGAAAGCCTCCTTTAAAGCTTTCTGCTTGGTTTAGGACTAAAGCGCCCCAATGTCGGGTCTATCATGTTTAAAAAGTAACGATGCTCAGAATGCCTTCTCAGTGATTTCCCCTTCATGAAAGCAAACAGATGTGTGCACTTTGCTCAGCGCATCTATAAAATGCCATTTAACCTCTTGGCTGTGAGGCGGCGGCAATAACAGATCGCTCCCTGGAAACAGCAAACACACGCGTCACACATGCATTCATGTGAGGACTCAAAGCCATAAAAGCAACAGAGAGCTTCTACATTCAGTGTCTGACATTTTCATGGAAAAGAATTTCACTCCCACCCGCTCAGAGAAACCAAAGAGCTGCAGAGCAATACATTTGTTCCTGGATGTTTGTGATGACAGCGTCTGGCGGTGGAAACAAAAGGCATCATTTTTATGCCAGATGCCAAGAAACTCCTCCAAGAGGCTGGAATTGTTTCCTAACGAGGCTCCTTTATGCCACTTTGATTTTAATTCAATTCTATTCAGTTTATTTCTATAGCTCCAATTCACATCATGTCATCTCAAGGCACTTTCCAGTTCAACCAGATCATCCAGTCAGATAAATTCAAACTTTAAGGACTTAAGGACAGAAGCTTTACTGCACAAATTATTAAATTCAGTCAATTTCTATACACTGGAAAAAATCAAAATCTAGATAAGTCATTTTTTCTTAAAATAAATGCATTTGTTCTTGGATTGAGGAGGTAAAAGAGACATTTTGCCAATGGAGACACTTTACATTCAAAATAAGAAAACACAATTGCATTGTCTTATTTCAAGTGCATTTTATCTAAGTAAAATTACCCATTCCATTGGCAAACTATCTCATTTACCTACTCAAATTAAGCGTAAATACACTTAATTTAACATTTTTACTTATTTTTAGACTGTTTTTCCAGTGTAGTGTCAATTCACATCATGTCATCTCAGGTCACTTTCCAGTTCACCAGATCATCCACTCAGATTGATTCAAAGTTTTCTATCTAAGGAAAACCAGCTGATTGCATCGACTCATTGACTCTTCAGCAATCCCTCACACTAAGCATGCTTGTAGCGACAGTGGAGAGGAAAAACTCCCTTTGAACAGGAAGAAACCTCCAGCAGAACCAGGCTCAGTGTGAGCGGCCATCTGCTGAGGCCCACTGGGGTTCAAGGAGACAGAAGCAGACATAGAAACAGAAGCATAGATACAAAAGGCAACTGTCAACCAGCTCCACAGGCGGCCCCGTCCAGGAAACACACAGCCAGGCAGACGAGCTCCGAGCCAGCTCCCATGTCAGAGGATGAAGAGAGCACATCCAGTTAGTCACAGTCAGAGAAACAGGACTACACTGGAAAACAGGCCAAGCTCCAACATCTAGAAACAAAGGTGTTGATGGCAGCAGCACAGCTGATATTTCTCTCCAGGATGGAGTCACAGCCAAACAGGAACAGACCAGATGAAGCTACTATGAGAAAAAGCAGAGAGAGCAGAACGTAGAGATTGAACTAACAGATTCTGCAGAGTGGGAGAATAGAGATAGAATGAAGCAGAATGATGAAAAAGGGGTCCCTATGTCCTCCAGCAGTCTAAGCCTATAGCAGCAGAACTATAGAGATAGATCAGGATAACCTGAGCCACTCTAACTAGAAGCTTTAACAAAAAGGAAAGTTTTAAGCCTAGCCTTAAAAGTAGACAGGGTGTCTGCCTCACGGACTAAAACTGGTAGTTGGTTCCACAGGAGAGGAGCCTGATAACTAAAAGATCTGCCTCCCATTCTACTTTTAGAAATTCTAGGAACCACTAGTAAACCTGCAGATTGAGAGCGAAGTGCTCTGTTAGGAACATCAGGAACAAGAAGTTGGCAATGTTTAGAAGATTGCTTAACGTTGCCAGCTTATTGTTTTCCAACCTGCTGTCTTTAATGAGTAAAGATTGTTACTGAAAATTTACTACTAAAAGTAGACAGGGTGTCTGCCTCACGGACTAAAACTGGTGGCTTTCCAATTGAAAGCTTATTGTTCTTCTCGATTACGCTCTTAGTGTCTGATGCTCAATTGATTTGTTTGTTTTTTCTCTTAGCAGCCAGAATGAGGCGCTCAGGAAAACTAGATCACAGAGAAACCAATGCGAATAAAAAGTCCCAGAAAACTCTGATTTAGGACAAACAAAAGATAAGGACAGAGTGTGGAGTGAAGGTCGGGGACATGAAGGACTAAAACACCATGAGGAGTTTTATCTAACAGCATCTTTTAAGGTTTTCACTTGCTGCAATGTTTTTGTCCATTAGGAAAGAAAGAAATGAAAGAAAACCAAACTTTTACACTCTCACCCTTTCTTGTGCCACAGCAGAGGGAGAGAGATGAGCTCTGTCAGCTCAATATCTTCGCTATCTTGCCTTTTTAGAGCCATAAAAATCACAGCCAGCATCTGTTATTAGGCAGCAAAATATTTGCTGGAAGTCAAGCCGACTTCCTGTCTGGTGGCAAATAATCCAGTTCAGTTCACTTTTATTGCATCAGTTCACATCATCCTAAGGAGCTTTATAGAGACGGTTCAATCAGATTGGTTAAAAAGATGAACACGGAAGACCAGACAGGACGAGTCCAGATACAAGTCCATTATCTGAGGCCATGAGAATATCAATAGTGACCTTCAGCAGAGCTGTTTCAGTGCTATGATGAGCTCCTTAGGGGGGATTGTTAGTCATATAAATCGTTCTAAAAGTTAAAACGAGGCTGTACTGCACTGGGGTTGGTTTATACGCATGCAAAGGAAGTCCTAAGTCTAAAACCTTGAAAATTGCATGTCAATCAGCTTGCAGGAAAATAACACTAATCAAACTTTTCTTTGTTTCCTGCTGTTTCTTAACCTGACTCCGCCAGATGGATTTGCTCCGCATATCCATCTGGAAACCTTCCGTTGAAATAATCTTGGGAAGGGGCGAAAATACTGGTTAGCTGATTGGCCTATGTTGGTGATAGACGGGCCAAATAAACCAATCAGATCAACGAAGCATATGACGTACTAACAGAGCGACGACGAAGAGGAGCCAATTGATAGATCAAACTCTTGCAGAAACCAGTCGGGAGAAGAGCAAAAACGTCTTTTCCTCTGAGAAAAGCCTCCAGAGCAGTGTTTTGCTCTTCTTTCAGTGAAGAAATACTCTGTAATTCCGATAAAACTTGCTCGATAGCCACGCTAACGCTAGTTTCATCGGCTGAAGCCGCCATGTTCTTTAGACTGAACTGTCGCGCTTCTCGTTGCGTCACACCTCAACCCGCCTCAAAGCCAACGCTGATTGGACGTTCGTTTGGTGAACGGCTCCAAATTTTCTTTAACGGAGAGTCTCCAGACTGATCTGCGAGTGAAACATTGAAAGCTTGCGAGATCAGGATTGTCTCGGCTAGCTGTTTCTCCCTCTCTGATAAAAACTATAGGCCCCGCCCCAATCCATGCTGGGCTTTTACCAGTACGTATAGGGAAAAGACCTACAGTTCTTCCTGTCTAACGGAGAAAAATCAAAACGAAAAAAACACAAAAGAACGATTTTTAACCTATAAAATAAACTCTGTAAATAATTACCAAAAATATAAAGTAAACTAAACAAATGACAAAGAATGAATATCAAACAAGCTCTGAAACCAGATTGAAACTCTTCATAAAGTTCATTGTGGTGAAAGTTGTCACACACTTGTTTAACAACTGTTTCCTCAAGAATTTTAGATTAGAAAAGAAGACTGTAAAAACGACAACTCAAAATTGTTCACCTCACTAAGATTTTTGCATTCACTGACAATAAAATTGCCAGTTGGAACTTGAATCGTCTGGTGTGAGCCAGTTGAACTCACTTTCATAAGTTTCTGATGAAAAGTTCATCTTATTCTATAAATTAAGTTGAGTTTACTTTGAAGTTGTCGTTGACACCCAGTCCCAGCGCATGCTCATTTCAAAGTTGTCATGGCAACCGGCAGCTACGGGGTTTCCATGGATTTTCCCAGGAGCTCCCATCTGGTCACTCTGCTGGCGGTAACTTTCCCTGAGGACTCGTCCAAGAGAACACTAAGGCACTGGTTTCCTGTCATCTCTGGCAATATTGCATTATTTGTAAGGTTTTAACAGGAGTTGGAAAGTAAAAAAATATATGCTGAAACCTGATTTGCTTTAAGCATAAGATTACTTTTTTACATTGTGGAATTGTAAACCTGTTTTTGCCAAAGTGGTTCAAATAAACATGCAAAATTTAACTGGTTTACTGTCAGTGGATTATTTAATGGGGGGGGGGATTTAAACTCAAAAATGTAAGTTATTACAGGGGATGGTAATCTGAATTTAAAATAACTTTTTACAGATTATCTGAACTTAAAATAATAAGTTTTTACAGACTTGAAAGTTCCAGTAACTTGAATTAAAAAAACTAGCTGACACAACTTAATAAGTGTAGTTCTACAAAACTTAAAAATATAAGTTGATGCCTGTTGGGTTTTAATCCAGAGAAATGTGAGTTTAAAAGATTAAGAGGAAATGATCAAACACAGACATGGATTTGTAACGTCAACCTCTGCAGTAGGGGAGAAAAGCTGCTGGCTCAGAAACCAGCACCTTTTTATTAACAGTTTACAACATCATAGGGCGGGCCTTAAACAGAAGACCCAGTAATGATTATCTGGGAGGATGCAGTAAGATAGTGTGAAATGACCATCTGGCTGGATGGAAGTCACACAACCGTGTGATTCTGCCTCATGACCTACTGGATGGAGGTCATAAAAGTTTATGACCCTTCTGGTTGAATCACAGGATAGAAATGTAGCATCTTCTTTCTTTCAATGTTTCAGATGTCCACACAATCATTTTATAATTATCACTCTAACAATGCCTTCAACTTAAAAATTCTGTGCAGTCGGTTGCCTTGAAATTTTGAGTTGAACTAACTTTTTCGTTTTTACAGGTCTATAATCGACCAAGTGTTTTTTGATCGTGGGACGGTTTAATTACAGTTACCTTAAAAGCCTGAGGTTCACATCTCTGTAAGAGGAATAGATTAATCACATCTAGAATGGAGGAGGAAATTAGAGGGAAAACTTCCTTAAATCAATTAAGGAAATCGTTATAGTGCTATTTTAATCTATAATTTCACTTTGTTTGTTAGATTCAGAATTTTTTTTTCTTAGATGTTGGTTTTAATTTTATTGTTTTATAACAAAACTGAAATAGTGTCAACTGTTGATAGTGATTTATGTATCAAACTTTAGACCGAGATAGTAATTTTAATTTAAGAGTAATTACATTTGAAACCTTGAATTAGAGAAAAAGGCAACATCCAGAAGTATTTTGTTGTGTTTTTTGGCAATAATAGATTAACGAAAAATGTAAAAAAAAAGAAAAAGAAAATGACTGTTAATTTGACCTGATCCTTCTCATTCTGGTCTAATTTGATGTCCAGGGGATTTGAAATCTGCAATTTTTATGACGTTTGAGACCTAATTTTAATATTAGGCTTTAATAATTGTCACTTAGAGACTTTTTGAAGAGATTAAATATTTGAATTAGCTTAGATGAAACTTTAAATTCCAAATCCTTAAGAAACGTTCCCTTTTAGCCCATTTTTACTAGTTTCTACACTGCAAAAATGGTCTAAAAATAAGTAAAAATGTCTTAAATCAAGCGTATTTACCATTCATTTTAGTAGGTAAATGGGATGATTAGCCAATGGAATTAGTATTTTTACTCTTAAAATAAGATTATTAGATAATATGCACTTGAAATAAGACAATGCGGTTGCTATTTCTTATTTTAGATGTAAATTGTCTTGTTCCATTGGCAAAGTGTCTCACTTACCTCCTCAATTCAAGAACAAATGCACTTAGTTTAAGAAAAAATTACTTATTTAGATTTCCATTTTTTGCAGTGTATAAAACCGTTTCATTGTCCTTTTTTGCTGTTGCCTTATTTTGCATGGATTCCCCTAAAGGCTTATTTTTTATTTTGTTAGATTAAAAGATCTATTTGTTTCAGACATTTTAGTCGTTTTCAACCTGCTTCATAATAAGCCTCCGAACCGAAACATTAGATTTGAGCATTTAAAATATTTCAATGTCTGTAAATTATCTTTTTTTAATTAAATAATAATAAAAATAAAACTTTTTCATGATATTCTAATTTTTTTTAGATCCACCCATTGATTACTTTTGATCAATCTGTTATGTTCACAGATCTACAATGAGATGATTAGGGACCTGCTGAACCCATCCTCAGGCTTCTTGGACCTGAGAGAAGACTCTAAAGGGGTGATCCAGGTGGCGGGCATCACAGAGGTGTCGACCATCAACGCCCAGGAGGTGAGAGGAAATCTTCTGAGGTTCCATCACGCCATTATCAAGCCTTTTAACACCCCTGAAACCGTCCCTTATGTGCGTTCTCAGATCATGGAGTTGCTAATGAAGGGCAACAAGCAGCGCACACAGGAGCCAACGGCGGCTAATCGGACGTCGTCCCGCTCCCACGCCGTGCTGCAGGTCGCCGTCAAGCAGCAGAGCCGCTGTCGTGACGTCCTGCAGGAGGTCCGCTTCGCTCGGCTCTTCATGATCGACCTCGCCGGATCAGAACGAGCAGCTCAGGTGGATTTTTGTCTCAACATTGTTCTTCAACCTGCTCTGCTACTTAAAAGCTCATCAATCTGAAATAAAACTGAAATGGAGAAAAAAGCTGATGATTAGTGGAAGAAATCTGAAAGCTGACGCTCGTATAAATGAAGCGTCCAGATCCTTATAGAGACTCCCTGGTTTTAGCTGACTTTATGTTTGTTATTCCTCGCCTCCTTCCAGGTGCTTTCACCCCCCCAACATTTATAAAGTGTTAAAACATATATATATAAACCTGTGAGTTCAGACGTTTTCTCACCCATCGATTTCTGCCTCTTTTCAGACCCAGAATAGAGGTCAGCGGTTGAAAGAAGGCGCTCACATCAATCGTTCCCTCCTGGCTTTGGGCAACTGCATCAATGCCCTGAGCGATAAAAATGGCAACAAGTACGTCAACTATAGAGACAGCAAGCTGACCCGCCTCCTGAAGGTAAGTTTCACAGCGTCTGGTAAAAACAGCGGCATTTTTTAAAAGAGTTATTTGATATGTTCATCCCTTCTTTTATTCTGAAACTGCTGAATATAATCCAGTCCAACAAGTTGTAAGGAAATCACATTCAAATGTCAAATCATTCTGGCTTAAACATGTATATAAATGTTCTCTTTATCAGACCATATTGTCCCGAAATTTAGAAAATGTCTATTTTAAAAAGAAATCCTGTCTTTAAATCTGTTTTTTTTTTTTCATTATCTTCTGCAGGCCAGTTAGTAGGGATGCACGATATAATCGGCCCCCTATCGGTATCGGCCTTAAAACTGAATATCGGACATCGGCCACCCCACCGATATTTAACCCGATATTTGATCAGCTTCTGAGTTTCTAAAGTCTAAAAAAAATAAAATACTACTTCTTCTTCTTCCTCAAAAACTTCTTTTTTACAGACTTAAAAACTTCTAAAGACGAGGGAAAAAATATTGATCCATTAAAATATCCCAATATCTTCATATGCTGATATATTGCCATTTAAAAACACCATATCAATCTCTTTTACTAATGAAATATTGCTATATGTCATCGTTATGCTACGAAATCCCCCGAAAATTCACCAAATTTTGCCATATTTTTATATGTTGATATATTGACGCGGTATCGATCTATTTTACTAACAAAATCTCACAAGAATTTGCAAAATATCACCAGAGTTTGTAACAGAACGATGAAATTTCACCAGATTTTGAAAGTAAAATAGATCGATACCGCGTTTTTAAAAATCTATTTGATATCAGCATATGAAAATATATTTGAGTATATTATTTTTCAAAGTGTCAGAAATGGATAACAAAACTGCTATTTTCAATGACTACTTATTTTTGTCCGGCTTTAACATCGGTATCGATATCGGTTATCGGCTACATGAGTTTTAAAATATCGGCATATCGGATATCGGCTAAAATCTCAATATCGTGCATCCCTACCAGTTAGTTCTACGTCAGCCTGAACACCTAAATTCGGCCAATCATATATCAACGCTCATCTGTCAATCAATTTTTTTCCATCATAGCATCTTGATTCATATGTCGCAGCTAATATACGCAACGGTTGAAATAAAAAATTAGAATCATTTCCTTTCCCAGTGATGAAAAAGGGGTCCCTATGTCCTCCAGCAGTCTAAGCCTATAGCAGCAGAACTATAGAGATAGCTCAGGATAACCTGAGCCACTCTAACTAGAAGCTTTATCAAAAAGGAAAGTTTTAAGCCTAGCCTTAAAAGTAGACAGGGTTTCTGCCTCCTATCCTTATGTATGCAGAGAAGCTACTGCGCATAGACAACTTTTAATGAGAGTCTATAGGCGAAGGGTTTTGTGCGCTAGGGCTGAAATACGTCATCAATCCGGTGGAATGACGCTTTACTTGTCGTTAAAGATAATATATTTAGCTTGCACATCTAAAAAATATAGATCAATATATTTTGAAATATTTTGCATTTTAATCTAAAATTTAATTATAAAAAAAGACCTCTATTGGCCAGCTGCCACTGATAAAATCTAGGGATGCACGATATTGGGATTTTGGCCGATATCCGATATTTTAAAACTCATGTAGCCGATAACCGATATCGATACAGATGTTAAAGCTGGACAAAAATAAGTAGTCAGCGAAAATAGCAGTTTTGTTATCCATTTCTGACACTTTGAAAAATAATATACTCAAATATATTTTCATATGCTGATATCAAATTGATTTTTAAAAACGCGGTATCGATCTATTTTACTTTCAAAATCTGGTGAAATTTCATCGTTCTGTTACAAACTCTCATGATATTTTGCAAATTCTTGTGAGATTTTGTTAGTAAAATAGATCGATACCGCGTCAATATATCAACATATAAAAATATGGCAACATTTGGTGAATTTTCAGGGGATTTCGTAGCATAACGATGACATATAGCAATATTTCATTAGTAAAAGAGACTGATATGGTGTTTTTAAATGGCAATATATCAGCATATGAAGATATTGGGATATTTTAATGTATCAATATTTTTTCCCTCGTCTTTAGAAGTTTTTAAGTCTGTAAAAAAGAAGTTTTTGAGGAAGACGAAGAAGTATTTTATTTTTTTTAGACTTTAGAAACTCAGAAGCTGATCGATATTCAGTTTTAAGGCCGATACCGATAGGGGGCCGATTATATCGTGCATCCCTAATAAAATCCATTGAATTCTAGTTTATTTTACTTTAACAGACTTCACTGCAAAAAATTTGAATCTAGATAAGTCATTTTTTCTTAAAATAAGTGCATTTGTTCTTGAAGTGAGGAGGTAAAAGAGACATTTTGCCAACGGAACAAGACAATTTACACTTAAAATAAAAAAAAAAACAATTGCATTGTCTTATTTCAAGTGAATATTATCTAATTATCTTATTTTAAGAGTAAAATTACTCATTATATTGGCAAACAATCTCATTTACCTACTCAAATACACTTAATTTAGGAATTTCTTTTACTTATTTCTAGATAGTTTTTGCAGTGTTGGCACATAAAACAACATCTCAAGGTTTTAATGTGTTGAAATGTGGGCTTTTAGATTTAAATGTTAAAGTTTCTGCTTTAACAAACAAATATTTTGGCCTTTATTCAAAACTAAATGTCATCATCAAACATAATCCTGAAATATCATCTACATTGTGAAGCATGGTGGTGGCAGCAGCATGCTCTGGGGACGATGAATGATGGGACTTTGTCTCCTCTTTCACTGGTAGGACTCGCTGGGTGGGAACAGCCGAACAGTGATGATAGCGCATATTAGCCCCGCCTCCATGGCTTTTGAGGAGTCTCGTAACACCCTGGCGTACGCCGACCGTGCCAAAAGCATCCGGACACGGGTAAACTTTCACCTCGCCTCCATCACGGTTGATCTTAAGCCTAAACGCTTCGTCTGAGAAAAGTGGTTTCTGCTCTCTGTCTGCTTCAGGTGAAGAAGAACCTGATAAACGTGTCGTACCACATTGCTCAGTACACAAACATCATCTCTGACCTTCGCTGCGAGATCCAGCGGCTCAAAAAGAAGATCTCAGAGCAGGCGAGCCTGAAGATCAGCTCCGAGCGAGCGGACATCCGAAACATTCAGGGTGAGTTTTCTTCTCTCCATTCAAACACGGGAATCTGAACATCCATTAACGGCTCTTTCCTTTTTTGCTGCTTTATAGCGGAGGTCCAAGCCCAGTCCAGCCAGCAGAGCAGAGCAGAGATGGACGAGCTGCGGGAGCAGCTCCTGGATGCTTTCCGACAGCAGATGAAGATCAGGAAGAGCCTGATCGAGCTGGAGAACAGCAACATGGAGATCCAGATGGACACCTCCAGACATCTCGTCACCGTTGCAGAGTCAGTCACGTTTCTACACTGCAAAAACGGTCTAGAAATACGTAAAAATGCATGGGCGGTTCTAGACAGGGGCCAACGGGGGCCAGAGCCCCTGTAGATCATGTCCTGGCCCCTGAAGACTGAAGACACACTGGAAAACAATCTAGAAATAAGTACAGAAATTCTTAAATTAAGGGAATTTACTCTTAATTTGAGCAGGTAAATGAGATCATTTGCCAATGGAATGAGTATTTTTACTCTTAGAACAAGATAATTAGATAATATGCATTTGAAATAAGACAATGCAGTTATTTTTTCTTATTTTAAATGCAAATTTTCTTGTTCAGTTTGCAAAGTGTCTCACTTACCTCCTCAATTCAAGAAAAAATGACTTATTTTTAGAAAAAATTACTTATCTAGTTTTACATTTTTTGCAGTGTAATACCCAAATTGTTACTGATGGATCCATTCACTGGAAAAAAATCGAAATCTACATAAGTCATATTTTCTTAAAATAAGTGCATTTGTTCTTGGATTGAGGAGATAAGAGAGACTTCTTGCCAAACGAACAAGAAAATTTACACTTAAAATAAGAAAACACAATTGCATTGTCTTATTTCAAGTGCATATTATCTAATTATCTTATTTTAAGAGTAAGAATACTCATTCCATTGGCAAACTACCTCATTTACCTGCTCAAATTAAGGATAAATACACTTAATTTAGGACATTTTATCTTATTTCTAGATCATTTTTTTCAGTGTTGGATCTATTTCCTTTTTTTTCTTTAAAAATTCAGTTTTACTAACTATTTAAACACAATAACATGAAAGTTTTAGTGGTATGGAGATAGGATCACAGTTTTCATCTGCTAAACATTTTTTTCAAAAGAAATTGCTCAAATTTTCACAGCTGAATTTATCACTTTTTCTTCAGTTCTAATTAAGATTTTATAGAAAACGTTAATTTTAGCTTAAATTAAGACAAAAATATGTTAAATTCCTAAATATCGAAGGTTTATTGACCTAATAGGGCATAGAATTTTAATGAAACCTAACTGAATAGAAAATTCACATCATGCAGTGAAGAAGTCATGCCCTCCTGGCCCCCTGGTACAATTAATCAATCAAAATCTAGATAAGTCATTTTTTTCTTAAAATAAGTGCATTTGTTCTTGAATTAAGGAGGTAAAAGAGACATTTTGCCAATGGAACAAGACAATTTACACTTAAAATAAGAAAACACAATTGCATTGTTTTATTTCAAGTGCATTTTATCTAATTATCTTATTTTAAGAGTAAAATTACTAATTCCATTGGAAAACTTGTTCATTTACTTCCTCAAATTAAGCGTAAATACACTTAATTTAAGAAATTTTTACTTATTTCTAGTAGGTTTTTGCAGTGCATTTACTACTACATATTATTTTTCCAGTGTAAAAAAATGCACTTATTTTAAGCAAAAATAACTTTTTTGCAGTGTATCATCTCACACTGCAAAACGCTCCAGAAATAAGTAGAAATTTCTTAAATTAAATGTATTTATCCTTCATTTGAGTAGGTAAATGAGATAGTTTGCCAGTTTGGAATGAGTATTTTTCCTCTTAAAATAAGATATTTAGATAAAATGCACTTGTAATAAGACAATGCAATTGTGTTTTCTTATTTTAAATGTTAATTGTCTTGTGACTGAGTGACATGTGCTTGACCGTGACTGAGTGGATGTGCTCTCTTCGTCCTCTGGCATGGGAGCTGCCTTGGAGCTCGTCTGCCTGGCTGTGTGTTTCCTGGACGGGGCCGCCTTTTACAGCTGCTTTTTGTATCTCTGCTTCTGTCTCCTTGAACCCCAGTCGGCCTTGGCAGATGGCCGCTCACACTGAGCCTGGTTCTGCTGGAGGTTTCTTCCTGTTAAAAGGGAGTTTTTCCTCTCCACTGTCGCTACAAGCATGCTTAGTGTGGGGGATTGTATTTGAGTCAATGAGTCGATGCAATCAGCTGGTTTTCCTTAGATAGAAAACTTTGTATCAATTTGACTGTATGATCTGGTTGAACTGTAAAGTGCCTTGAGATGACATGTGTTGTGAATTTGGCGCTATATAAATAAACTGAATTGAAATTGAATTGAATTGTTCTATTGGTAAAATGTCTCTTTTATCTCCTCAATCCAAGAACAAAGGCATTTATTTTAAGAAAAAATTATTTACCGGTATGTAGGTTTAGATTTTTTCCAGTGCATTTCATCATGAAGCTTAAAGTCTAGTAACACGTCACTTTTTTATCATAAAGCTTCTCTCTGGATTTAAAATTTAATTGATTTTCATCCCTATTATTCTGACTCTGGCCGAGTTTAATTAAAGAAATTAGTGCAGCTGCTGCTGTTTGATTAACTTATAACAGTAATAATCCACTATTAGATAATAACTAGTGTTAGACCAAGTCATTGTTCTTTTAAAATATCATCTTTTGTTTGTTCCCAGCTGGGAGCAGGAGCAGAGTAAACGCAGGAGAAAGTGGCGTGCAGAGAGAAGGAAGGAAAGCGTCAACAAGGACGAAAGTGAGAAGGACTCGGATTCCTCCGAGTCGCCCCCAGACAGCACAGAGACTCGGGAGGTAGCAGTGGCTCGGGAAAACCTGGTCCTCCTGATGGCCGAACAAAAGAAGATTCAAAAGCAGAAGGTCAGCTTCCTGGAAACAAAATGAAAAGACATTTTCATCTAATCTTGTATTAAATAAAAAAAAATAATCTGTGATTTCAGGGTTTACTGGAGCAGAAGTTCCTGGAGCTGCGGGATCGCGGCCGACGCCTCGAGGAGCTGCTTCCTCGCAGGGTGAGCTCAGAGGAGCAGCGCGAAGTCCTCGGCCTCCTCTGCAAGGTCCACGAGCTGGAGATGGAGAACGCAGAGATGCAGTCCCACGCTCTGATCAAAGACAGCGTCATCCGGCAGAAAAACTTTGTGGTGCAGCGCTTTGAGCAGCACAGACACCTGTGTGACGAGATCATTCAGCAGCAGAGGCAGTTCATAGACGGTGAGCGTTTGGAATTTCTCTTCATTTACTTGGAAAAAAACTGGAAAAAAGAGTCGCACAGAATGAATGATAAAATTAAAACCTTCCATCGGTTCATTTTTCATTCATTCCTAAGCAGGGCCCAAAAAATACTGACTTTTCAATATTTCTCTGTCCCAATTTCACACATTAGAAACTAGATTTTTATTTCAACTTTCATTTGAAGCTTTTGTCTACAACTGGCTCTATTGCTCCCCTCACTGCTCCCCCTCACTGCTCCTCCTCACTGCTCCTCCTCACTGCTCCTCCTTGCTGCTCCTCTTGCTGCTCCTCCTGCTGCTCCTCTTGCTGCTCCTCCTGCTGCTCCTCTTGCTGCTCCTCCTGCAGCTCCTCTTGCTGCTCCTCCTGCTGCTCCTCTTGCTGCTCCTCCTGCAGCTCCTCTCGCTGCTCCACCTGTAGCTCCTCTTGCTGCTCCTCTTGCTGCTCCTCCTTGCTGCTCCTCCTTACTGCTCCTCCTTGCTGCTGCTCCTGCTGCTCCACCTGTAGCTCCTCCTGCTGCTCCTCTTGCTGCTCCTCCTTGCTACTCCTCCTGCTGCTCCTCCTGCAGCTCCTCTTGCTGCTCCTCTTGCTGCTCCTCTTGCTGCTCCTCCTGCTGCTCCTCTTGCTGCTCCTCCTGCTGCTCCTCTTGCTGCTCCTCTTGCTGCTCCTCCTGCTGCTCCTCTTGCTGCTCTACCTGCAGCTCCTCTTGCTGCTCCTCCTGCTACTGCTCTTGCTGCTCCTCCTGCTACTGCTCTTGCTGCTCCTCTTGCTGCTCCTCTTGCTGCTCCTCCTGCTGCTCCTCTTGCTGCTCTACCTGCAGCCCCTTTTGCTGCTCCTCCTTACTACTCCTCTTGCTGCTCCTCTTGCTGTTCCTCTTGCTGCTCCTCCTTGCTACTTCTCCTGCAGCTCCTCGTGCTGCTCCTCTTGCTGCTCCTCTTGCTGCTCCTCCTTGCTACTTCTCCTGCTGCTCCTCGTGCTGCTCCTCGTGCTGCTCCTCTTGCTGCTCCTCTTGCTGCTCCTCTTGCTGCTCCTCCTGCTGCTCCTCTTGCTGCTCCTCCTGCTACTCCTCTTGCTGCTCCTCGTGCTGCTCCTCTTGCTGCTCCTCCTGCTGCTCCTCCTGCAGCTCCACCTGCAGCCCCTTTTGCTGCTCCTCCTTACTACTCCTCTTGCTGCTCCTCTTGCTGTTCCTCTTGCTGCTCCTCCTTGCTACTTCTCCTGCAGCTCCTCGTGCTGCTCCTCTTGCTGCTCCTCTTGCTGCTCCTCCTTGCTACTTCTCCTGCTGCTCCTCGTGCTGCTCCTCGTGCTGCTCCTCTTGCTGCTCCTCTTGCTGCTCCTCTTGCTAATCATCTTACTGCTCCTCTCGCTGCTCCATCTGTAGCTCCTCTTGCTGCTCCTCCTTGCTGCTCCTCCTGCTGCTCTTCCTGCAGCCCCTTTTGCTGCTCCTCCTTACTACTCCTCTTGCTGCTCCTCTTGCTGCTCCTCGTGCTGCTCCCCTTGCTGCTCCTCCTGCAGCTCCTTGTGCTGCTCCTCTTGCTGCTCCTCCTGCTGCTCTACCTGCAGCTCCTCTTGCTGCTCCTCCTTGCTGCTCCTCGTGCTGCTCCCCTTGCTGCTCCTCCTGCAGCTCCTCTTGCTGCTCTACCTGCAGCTCCTCTTGCTGCTCCTCCTGCTACTGCTCTTGCTGCTCCTCCTTGCTGCTCCTCCTGCTGCTCCTCTTGCTGTTCCTCTTGCTGCTCCTCTTGCTGTTCCTCGTGCTGCTCCTCCTTGCTACTTCTCCTGCAGCTCCTCTTGCTGCTCCTCCTGCTACTGCTCTTGCTGCTCCTCCTTACTACTCCTCTTGCTGCTCCTCTTGCTGTTCCTCTTGCTGCTCCTCTTGCTGTTCCTCTTGCTGCTCCTCCTGCTACTGCTCTTGCTGCTCCTCTTGCTGCTCCTCTTGCTGCTCCTCCTGCTGCTCCTCTTGCTGCTCTACCTGCAGCCCCTTTTGCTGCTCCTCCTTACTACTCCTCTTGCTGCTCCTCTTGCTGTTCCTCTTGCTGCTCCTCCTTGCTACTTCTCCTGCTGCTCCACCTCCAGCTCCTCGTGCTGCTCCCCTTGCTGCTCCTCCTGCAGCTCCTTGTGCTGCTCCTCTTGCTGCTCTACCTGCAGCTCCTCTTGCTGCTCCTCTTGCTGCTCTACCTGCAGCTCCTCTTGCTGCTCCTCCTTGCTGCTCCTCGTGCTGCTCCCCTTGCTGCTCCTCCTGCAGCTCCTTGTGCTGCTCCTCTTGCTGCTCTACCTGCAGCTCCTCTTGCTGCTCCTCCTGCTACTGCTCTTGCTGCTCCTCCTGCTGCTCCTCTTGCTGCTCCTCCTTGCTGCTCCTCCTGCTGCTCCTCTTGCTGCTCCTCCTTGCTGCTCCTCCTGCTGCTCCACCTGTAGCTCCTCCTGCTGCTCCTCTTGCTGCTCCTCCTTGCTACTCCTCCTGCTGCTCCTCTTGCTGCTCCTCCTGCAGCTCCTCTTGCTGCTCCTCTTGCTGCTCCTCTTGCTGCTCCCCTTGCTGCTCCTCCTGCAGCTCCTTGTGCTACTCCTCTTGCTGCTCTACCTGCAGCTCCTCATGCTGCTCCTCCTTGCTACTCCTCCTGCTGCTCTTCCTGCAGCTCCTACAGCAGCCCCTTTTGCTGCTCCTCCTTACTACTCCTCCTGCTGCTCTTCCTGCAGCTCCTACAGCAGCTCCTCTTGCTGCTCCTCTTGCTGTTCCTCTTGCTACTTCTCCTGCTGCTCTACCTGCAGCTCCTCTTGCTGCTCCTCCTTGCTGCTCCTCCTGCTGCTCTACCTGCAGCTCCTCTTGCTGCTCCTCCTTGCTGCTCCTCGTGCTGCTCCCCTTGCTGCTCCTCCTGCAGCTCCTTGTGCTGCTCCTCTTGCTGCTCTACCTGCAGCTCCTCTTGCTGCTCCTCCTGCTACTGCTCTTGCTGCTCCTCCTGCAGCTCCACCTGCAGCCCCTTGTGCTGCTCCTCCTTACTACTCCTCTTGCTGCTCCTCTTGCTGTTCCTCTTGCTGCTTCTCCTTGCTACTTCTCCTGCAGCTCCTCGTGCTGCTCCTCTTGCTGCTCCTCTTGCAGCTCCTCCTTGCTACTTCTCCTGCTGCTCCACCTCCAGCTCCTCGTGCTGCTCCTCTTGCTGCTCTACCTGCAGCTCCTCTTGCTGCTCCTCTTGCTGCTCTACCTGCAGCTCCTCTTGCTGCTCCTCCTTGCTGCTCCTCCTGCTGCTCTACCTGCAGCTCCTCTTGCTGCTCCTCCTTGCTGCTCCTCGTGCTGCTCCCCTTGCTGCTCCTCCTGCAGCTCCTTGTGCTGCTCCTCTTGCTGCTCCTCTTGCTGCTCCTCCTGCTGCTCCTCTTGCTGCTCCTCCTGCTGCTCCTCTTGCTGCTCCCCTTGCTGCTCCTCCTGCAGCTCCTTGTGCTACTCCTCTTGCTGCTCTACCTGCAGCTCCTCATGCTGCTCCTCCTTGCTACTCCTCCTGCTGCTCTTCCTGCAGCTCCTACAGCAGCCCCTTTTGCTGCTCCTCCTTACTACTCCTCTTGCTGCTCCTCTTGCTGTTCCTCTTGCTGCTCCTCCTTGCTACTTCTCCTGCTGCTCTACCTGCAGCTCCTCTTGCTGCTCCTCCTTGCTGCTCCTCGTGCTGCTCCCCTTGCTGCTCCTCCTGCAGCTCCTTGTGCTGCTCCTCTTGCTGCTCTACCTGCAGCTCCTCTTGCTGCTCCTCCTGCTACTGCTCTTGCTGCTCCTCCTGCAGCTCCACCTGCAGCCCCTTTTGCTGCTCCTCCTTACTACTCCTCTTGCTGCTCCTCTTGCTGTTCCTCTTGCTGCTCCTCCTTGCTACTTCTCCTGCAGCTCCTCGTGCTGCTCCTCTTGCTGCTCCTCTTGCAGCTCCTCCTTGCTACTTCTCCTGCTGCTCCACCTCCAGCTCCTCGTGCTGCTCCCCTTGCTGCTCCTCCTGCAGCTCCTTGTGCTGCTCCTCTTGCTGCTCTACCTGCAGCTCCTCTTGCTGCTCCTCTTGCTGCTCTACCTGCAGCTCCTCTTGCTGCTCCTCCTTGCTGCTCCTCCTGCTGCTCTACCTGCAGCTCCTCTTGCTGCTCCTCCTTGCTGCTCCTCGTGCTGCTCCCCTTGCTGCTCCTCCTGCAGCTCCTTGTGCTGCTCCTCTTGCTGCTCTACCTGCAGCTCCTCTTGCTGCTCCTCCTTGCTGCTCCTCCTGCTGCTCTAACTGCAGCTCCTCTTGCTGCTCCTCCTTGCTGCTCCTCGTGCTGCTCCCCTTGCTGCTCTACCTGCAGCTCCTCTTGCTGCTCCTCCTGCTGCTGCTCTTGCTGCTCCTCCTGCTGCTCCTCTTGCTGCTCCTCCTTGCTGCTCCTCCTGCTGCTCCTCTTGCTGCTCCTCCTGCTGCTCCTCTTGCTGCTCCTCCTTGCTGCTCCTCCTGCTGCTCCTCCTGCAGCTCCTCCTGCTGCTCCTCCTGCTGCTCTAACTGCAGCTCCTCTTGCTGCTCCTCCTTGCTGCTCCTCCTGCTGCTCCTCCTGCAGCTCCTCCTGCTGCTCCTCCTGCTGCTCTACCTGCAGCTCCTCTTGCTGCTCCTCCTTGCTGCTCCTCCTGCTGCTCTAACTGCAGCTCCTCTTGCTGCTCCTCGTGCTGCTCCCCTTGCTGCTCTACCTGCAGCTCCTCCTGCTGCTCCTCTTGCTGCTCCTCGTGCTGCTCCCCTTGCTGCTCTACCTGCAGCTCCTCCTGCTGCTCCTCTTGCTGCTCCTCCTGCTGCTCCTCTTGCTGCTCCCCTTGCTGCTCCTCCTGCAGCTCCTTGTGCTACTCCTCTTGCTGCTCTACCTGCAGCTCCTCATGCTGCTCCTCCTTGCTACTCCTCCTGCTGCTCTTCCTGCAGCTCCTACAGCAGCCCCTTTTGCTGCTCCTCCTTACTACTCCTCTTGCTGCTCCTCTTGCTGTTCCTCTTGCTGCTCCTCCTTGCTACTTCTCCTGCTGCTCTACCTGCAGCTCCTCTTGCTGCTCCTCCTTGCTGCTCCTCCTGCTGCTCTACCTGCAGCTCCTCTTGCTGCTCCTCCTTGCTGCTCCTCGTGCTGCTCCCCTTGCTGCTCCTCCTGCAGCTCCTTGTGCTGCTCCTCTTGCTGCTCTACCTGCAGCTCCTCTTGCTGCTCCTCCTGCTACTGCTCTTGCTGCTCCTCCTGCAGCTCCACCTGCAGCCCCTTTTGCTGCTCCTCCTTACTACTCCTCTTGCTGCTCCTCTTGCTGTTCCTCTTGCTGCTCCTCCTTGCTACTTCTCCTGCAGCTCCTCGTGCTGCTCCTCTTGCTGCTCCTCTTGCAGCTCCTCCTTGCTACTTCTCCTGCTGCTCCACCTCCAGCTCCTCGTGCTGCTCCCCTTGCTGCTCCTCCTGCAGCTCCTTGTGCTGCTCCTCTTGCTGCTCTACCTGCAGCTCCTCTTGCTGCTCCTCTTGCTGCTCTACCTGCAGCTCCTCTTGCTGCTCCTCCTTGCTGCTCCTCCTGCTGCTCTACCTGCAGCTCCTCTTGCTGCTCCTCCTTGCTGCTCCTCGTGCTGCTCCCCTTGCTGCTCCTCCTGCAGCTCCTTGTGCTGCTCCTCTTGCTGCTCCTCCTGCAGCTCCTTGTGCTGCTCCTCTTGCTGCTCCTCTTGCTGCTCCTCCTGCTGCTCCTCTTGCTGCTCCTCCTGCTGCTCCTCTTGCTGCTCCCCTTGCTGCTCCTCCTGCAGCTCCTTGTGCTACTCCTCTTGCTGCTCTACCTGCAGCTCCTCATGCTGCTCCTCCTTGCTACTCCTCCTGCTGCTCTTCCTGCAGCTCCTACAGCAGCCCCTTTTGCTGCTCCTCCTTACTACTCCTCTTGCTGCTCCTCTTGCTGTTCCTCTTGCTGCTCCTCCTTGCTACTTCTCCTGCTGCTCTACCTGCAGCTCCTCTTGCTGCTCCTCCTTGCTGCTCCTCGTGCTGCTCCCCTTGCTGCTCCTCCTGCAGCTCCTTGTGCTGCTCCTCTTGCTGCTCTACCTGCAGCTCCTCTTGCTGCTCCTCCTGCTACTGCTCTTGCTGCTCCTCCTGCAGCTCCACCTGCAGCCCCTTTTGCTGCTCCTCCTTACTACTCCTCTTGCTGCTCCTCTTGCTGTTCCTCTTGCTGCTCCTCCTTGCTACTTCTCCTGCAGCTCCTCGTGCTGCTCCTCTTGCTGCTCCTCTTGCAGCTCCTCCTTGCTACTTCTCCTGCTGCTCCACCTCCAGCTCCTCGTGCTGCTCCCCTTGCTGCTCCTCCTGCAGCTCCTTGTGCTGCTCCTCTTGCTGCTCTACCTGCAGCTCCTCTTGCTGCTCCTCTTGCTGCTCTACCTGCAGCTCCTCTTGCTGCTCCTCCTTGCTGCTCCTCCTGCTGCTCTACCTGCAGCTCCTCTTGCTGCTCCTCCTTGCTGCTCCTCGTGCTGCTCCCCTTGCTGCTCCTCCTGCAGCTCCTTGTGCTGCTCCTCTTGCTGCTCTACCTGCAGCTCCTCTTGCTGCTCCTCCTTGCTGCTCCTCCTGCTGCTCCTCCTTGCTGCTCCTCGTGCTGCTCCCCTTGCTGCTCTACCTGCAGCTCCTCTTGCTGCTCCTCCTGCTGCTGCTCTTGCTGCTCCTCCTGCTGCTCCTCTTGCTGCTCCTCCTTGCTGCTCCTCCTGCTGCTCCTCTTGCTGCTCCTCCTGCTGCTCCTCTTGCTGCTCCTCCTTGCTGCTCCTCCTGCTGCTCCTCCTGCAGCTCCTCCTGCTGCTCCTCCTGCTTTTCAGTTTGACTCGACCTTTTCCTTCCTACCCTGTTTTTCCTTAGTGAAGAATATTAACAGTCAAATACTAAAAGAAGAGAAATGAAATAAAAATTGCCATTTCAACATAAAATGTCAATTTTTATTAGTCACTTCAACACATTAGCATGAAATGAAATTAATCTTAATTTTATTTTAATTGTACTTTATTGAAGTTTACCTCTGCATTTAACCCATTTCCTTAAGGAGCAGTGGGCAGCCACTGTGCGGAACCCAGGGAGCAGTGTGGGGTTTGGCTCTAACCACTGGGTCAGAGGTCACGGATAAGCGGACCGCGGTCCGGATCCGGACCCACCTGATTTAAAACATTTATCAATTACCGCACGTTGTCTAATTTCACTTGCTCCTCTTCTCCTGTTAATACGGTAAAGCCCTGGGGAGCGTCCGGCTCCAGGCTGCACGTGATCCAAATGAGCCAATGAGCTGTCAGTCTGGGTTGCTGCTGCTGCTACTTTTAGACACAGCAGGCAAACCTGTGGCAAGCCGGGCGATGGGAAAGAAGGAGAAGACCATGAGAAAAAGAGAGCAGAGAAAGTGTGGACTGCTGGAAGAACTGCGGTGAACTGGTGAAAGAAAAGTGAAATGGCGTGCTCAAAGATGACCCTGCACATTTAGAGGATGTTTGGCTCAACCTGCTGCTGTGAAGCAGGATTCTCCACCATGAACAGAATCAACAATAAATCTGGATCCAGGCTCAAAATGAGCATCTTGATATGTGCTTGAGAATGGCTTAGTCTCCGCTTAAACCCAGGTTTAAAGCCTTGCAGGGCAGCCTAAAGCAGCGTCGTTTCTAAGTCACCAATTTAGTGCTACTTCGTCCCAATGGAATTTCCCATTGGGAACCTGCTAGCGCTAAGTTGCTAACTGGTTAGCAAGATGCTTCCGACAAACCGGCCACAACCAAACATGCTTGCAAACCTTCCGCCACAACAATCCCGCCCCCTTGATAATCAACCAATCACGTTCACTTTATTCACTCGTGTAAAGTTGTGCACCACTCAGGGGAATTACGACTTTAAAACTCATCGTAAAAACAGGGAAGGAATGAATATTTTTATGCAGGAGCATCTGGAGGATGACCTCTAGGGGCCGCCAACACCGCCATGTTTTTCATGGTAAAGGATGCTTGGCCTCCTGTGTTGATAATGCTCCTGGTCTCGTCGTTTCCTCCTGTTTTTCTTATCTGATCGTCTCCCCGTGCGTTTCAGAGCACAGTCTGCTTGTGCCGCTGCACCTCCAGGAGCTATATGAGACGTACATGAGGGAGCTGGATGAGAGGAAGCTGGAGAGAGCTGTCGCCTTGGACAAGGTGACCACCAGGCAAACCATCAAGGTAACAGAGTCGTGGCCAATCGGCTCACTAAATGGCCACACACTAGAAAAAAACCGAAATCTACATAAGTGGTTTTTTTCTTGAAATAAGTGCATTTGTTCTTGGATTAAGGAGGTAAAAGAGACATTTTGCCAATGGAACGAGACAATTTACACTTAAAATAAGAAAACACAACTGCATTGTCTTATTTCAAGTGCATATTATGTAAGTATCTTATTCTAAGATTCCATTGGCAAACTAGCTCATTTGCCGACTCAAGTTAAGGGTAAATACACTTAATTTAAGACATTTTTTACTCATTTCTATTTGGTTTTTCCAGTGCAGGAAGTGGGCGTGCTGCAGCACCCCCTAGTGGCGAAGAGAAAATGTATTAAAAATACTTAAAAATTTCTTATTATTATTTTGGGAAATGAAACTAAATTATTTTGAGGCTTAATCGGCACAAATATCACGATGTTACGTTGTCATGGCAACGTAGAGCAAGCTAGAGGTCGCCGAGTAAAGAGTAGTACTCGTACTAGTAAGTCTAATAACAGAAATGAGGATGAAAAAATGGCACAGAGACGCATTTCGGATTTGCCTTTTCTCAATTCACGAGAACGCGAGTCCGGACTCGAGTTCTCGCCAAATCCGGTCTTGGAAAGAACACAGGAAAGTCTGGACTTGGTGAGAACGGGAGCACGCAGCATTGGAACAGAAGCATACTGATGACATCACCACACGCTCAGCCCGTCTAGAGCTGCATTTCACCTCCTGTTACACTGCAAAAACGATCTAGAAATGAGTAAATATTTCTTAAATTAAGTGTATTTACCCTTAATTTGAGCAGGTAAATGAGATAGTTTGCCAATGGAATGAGTAATTTTACTCTTAAAATAAGATAATTAGATTGTACACTGCAAAAACCATCTAGAATTAAGTGAAAAAATTCTTAAATTGAGTGTATTTACCCTTAATTTTAGCAGATAAATAAGATGATTTGCCAATGGAACTAGTATTTTTACTCCTAAAACAAGATAACTAGATAATATGCACTCGAAATAAGACAAAGCAATTGTATTTTTCTTATTTTAAATGTAAATTGTCTTGTTCCATTGGCAAATTATCTCAATTACCTGCTCAATTCAAGAAAAAATGCACTTAATTTAAGCAAAAATTACTCATTTAGATTTCCTTTTTTTGCAGTGTATGCATTTAAATTAAGATAATGCAATTGTGTTTCCTTATTTTAAGTGTAAATTGTCTTGTTCGATTGGCAAAATATCTCTTTTACCTCCTGAATTCAAGAACAAATGCACTTATTTTAAGAAAAAATGACTCCTCTAGATTTAGACTTTTTGCAGTGTATTAATCGTCTCCAGATAATAATAAATTCTGACTTATTTCAGTCGGACTGATGGTGACCGCCTCTTCTCTTCTCTTCTCAGGAGGGATCTTTACCAAAGATCTCGTTGCCGACTCAAGGTCGGGATTACACGCTGGATGCAGACTCCGACCAGGGCAGCGTACGCAACATGTTCACCGACACCAGACGAGGTCAAGCCAAAATGCGCAGACACACCTTACCTCCCATCCTACCTGAAGCCGAGCCGTAAGCTGAGACCGATTTCCTGCTGCCAGCCTTTAAAAGCGTCCGTGCACAAACTAACCTGCATATTCTGTGCGCTTCAGAGACAGAGTTTTCAAGAGCAGCCCTCATGCCAGGCAGATCAAGAACTCGGCTGTAATGACCCCCCCTCCGATTCACATCAACGGAAAAGGAAACAGAGAGGTGAGTTCCGGTCTGACAGACGCTGCTGTTCCCTCGTCTCTTTTATTAATCACAGCCATGTTGGTATCTGACTTATAGAAGATGAAACCTCCACATTCTGTTTTTAATTCAATTTAGTATTTAGAATTACAAGTATTACTTGAAAACATTAAAAAAGCATTTTTAATTTACAGCTCATAGGACTGAACTGATCCGATATTAAAGGTCTAGTGGAGGATGTTATTTTTCCGGGTGGATCATTTAAATCAGTGGTCCTCCTAACTGTCAATCATTCTGGTGATATGTTTCCATAAGGCCGTCCCACGTGCTCCTCCCCTTTTTCAGTAACCGCTGGAGACCCTGACATAGTGGAAAAATTGCAAATCTACTTTTGGAAAGAAAGCTTTTATGAGTGATGCACACAGCAACTTTTAAACAAAATCGTGCACGAGGAGGAATGGACTCGTGCACGCTCTCGCACACGTTTACTAGGCATTCCCTCTCGGCAGCGGGTACAGGGTTGTGCATGTGCCTTTTTTTGTGGAAAGAGGGCGGGTCTTTTCAAAAATTTGTGAAAATTCTCCGCTATACCTTTAAATATGAGTCCAATATCTACGGAAGAGGATTAGGGCCACTGAAAAAAAAAAAGTTAACTGAATTTTAAATTTTATTTCAGTTTAATATGGGAAAAAAGTTAGAATTCTGACTTTTTTCTCAGAATTCTGACTTTAATCTCAGAATTCTGACTGTTTTCTCAGAATTCTGACTTTAATCTCAGAATTCAGACTTTTTTCTCAGAATTCTGACTTTAATCTCAGAATTCAGACTTTTTTCTCAGAATTCTGACTTTAAATTCAGAATTTTAATGTAGATGGGCACCATGAAGGAAGAGATGTGGAGAACTCAGCTTCACTGACAAAGATGTGAGTTGTTGGAGAGGTTCAGTGACACATTGGTGGAAAATGACGGAATTAGGCAACTTTTTACGTGCCTGAGGGGTCCCCTCATTAATGGAGGAGCAGAAGGTCATTAAAATAAGAGAGCTAGTCTGTAAAACAGACATGGCTACGGCTTGATGCTAACATGTTTGTTAGCCGTCAGAATTCTGAGAAAAAAGTCAGAATTCTGAGAAAAAAGTCAGAATTCTGAAATTAAAGTCAGAATTCTGAAATTAAAGTCAGAATTCTGAGAAAAAAGTCCGAATTCTGAAATTAAAGTCAGAATTCTGAGAAAAAAGTCCGAATTCTGAGAAAAACGTCAGAATTGTGAGATTAAAGTCAGAATTCTGACTTTTTTCCCATGTTAAACTGAAATAAAATTTAAAAATCAGTTAACTTTTTTTTTCAGTTTTTTTCACTCTTCCGTTAATATCAGCCAAAAAAATGAATATTGTAATATATCGGCCTGCATCTAAAGCATGGGCAGTTCTAGACAGGGGCCAACGGGGGCCAGTGCCCCAGTTGATCATGTTCTGGCCCCTGTACTGAAGATATAATACATAAAGAAATTCTAATGATGATGTGCGCTGGAACAGACATGGTTACTGATCGGTCCTTTGGATCTATTTGCAAGACTTTCCATATATGCCCTTTATTTTATATTTTTATTACTGTTTCTCATCTTAATACTTTTTAGATTTACAACCTCTAATAGCCCAACAGCTATCAAAGCCTCCTCTATTACGCCTCCGCAGTAAAAAGGATCATTCTGTATGAAAAAGAAGCCAAACTTTGATTTCTAAAACTGATCAGAGGAGCAGTTTCTGCAGCGGGTTTAAAGGTCTTTAATGGTGAATTAATCCCTCTGATTCTTCCTCCTGCAGCTGCAGCATCTGGCTCCAGAAAGCTTCACCAGCTACAGTCACCTCAGCAACAGCATCAGCAGCCATCTGGACTCCTCACCCGAAAGCAGCGAGACGGGGGCTGATATGACCCTGGCTCGTAATGGTAAGCTCCTCCCCCCCATGGATAATGACGATGATGATGATAATGCCTTCTGAGGGTTTTTCTTCTTTTTTTATTTTGCATTAAACTGCTTCTGGTTATGGACATACAGATGCTTCCAATCAAACAGAAAGAAAACTGACCCCACACTAGAAAAATGATCTAGAAATTAGTAAAAATATCTTAAATTAAGTATATTTACCCTTGATTTAAGTAGGTAAATGAGATAGTTTGCCTATGGAATGAGTATTTTTACTTTTAGAATAAGATACTTAGATAATGTGCACTTGAAATAAGACAATACAATTATGATTTCTTATTTTAAATGTAAATTGTCTTGTTCTATTGGCAAAACGCCTCACTTTTACATCCTTAATCCAAGAACAAATGCACTTATTTTAAGAAAAGATGACTTATCTAGATTTTGATTTTTTCCAGTGCAGCTGATAGAAAGTTATTCATATTAGATGTTATTTCAGTCACATTAAAATATATCACAATATCTGCACTTAACAAACAACAATAAAGAAATATACACTTAAAATAAGAATGGATTAAATCTAAAAGTGAAAATTGATAAGTAACAGTTAAAAGTAACAGAGGTGTCAATAAATACTTTCTTACTTCAGTAGAAATGTTGGGTATCTATACTTTACTGGAATAATTATTTTTTAAAGACAACTTTTTACTTTCTACTCCTTACATTTTTAAAATAGACTCGTTAGTTTTGTTTTGTTAAGCTTGTTTTCTTCAAAAAAAAAAAAAAAACCATCAAAATAATTAACCATTTCATCCAGACAATTCATTTCTTGGTGCTGCCCCAACTTGTTGTTCACCACAAACCAAAATAAATAGTTTTTCAAGATGATGCAAAGTTAAATGTGACGCTGTTACCATTAGTTATAAAACTAAAAACTGAAGTAAAAGGAAGTTATCATCCAGAATTGTAGAAAAATTTTCCTTGAAATGCTCCACACTGAGCCTGGTTCTGCTGGAGGTTTCTTCCTGTTCAAAGGGAGTTTTTCCTCTCCACTGTCGCTACAAGCATGCTTAGTGTGAGGGATTGCTGAAGAGTCAATGAGTCGATGCAATCAGCTGGTTTTCCTTAGATAGAAAACTTTGAATCAATTTGAATGTATGATCTGGTGAACGGTAAAGTACCTTGAGATGACGTGTTGTGAATTGGTGCTACACTGGAAAAACAATCTAAAAATAAGTAAAAATGTTAAATTAAGTGTATTTATGCTTAATTTGAGTAGGTAAATGAGATAGTTTGCCTATGGAATCAGTATTTTTACTCTTGAAATAAGATAATTAGATAAAATGCACTTGAAATAAGACAATGCAATTGTGTTTTCTTATTTTAAATGTAAATTATCTTGTTCCATTGGCAAAATGTCTCTTTTACCTCCTCAATCCAAGAACAAATGCACTTATTTTAAGAAAAAATGACGTATCTAGATATATACTTATCTAGTATAGAAATAAACTGAATTTAATTTAATAATTTGTGCAGTAAAGCTTCTGTTCTTAACATTTTTACCTGCATTACTTTTACATTTATACTTTAAGCTGTTTTAAAAATGGTACTTTTCCACTTTTACTAGATTAAAAAGCTGACGTTGATCCTCTGATTTCTACAAAATTGTTTTTAAACTGCAGGATTTATACTTCTACTGGAGTACACTGGGAAAACGATCTAGAAATAAGTAAAAATGTATTAAATTAAGTGTATTTACCCTTAATTTTAGAATGTTAATCAAGCAGTTTGCCAATGGAATTAGTATTTTTACTCTTAGAATAAGATAATTAGATAACATGCACTTGAAATAAGACAATGCAATTGTTTTTTCTTATTTTAAGTGTAAATTGTCTTGTTCTATTTGCAAAATGTCTCTTTTACCTCCTCAATTCAAGAACAAATGCACTTATTTTGAGAAAAAACGACTTATCTAGATTTCGATTTTTTCCAGTGTAATAACCATTAATACTTGCTGTAAACACAGTCTGATGCACGTTTACAGACCTAAACAGCCAAATATCTGATTTTCATCCAACAGTATCTGTTTCCATCGTATTCATAGGTGTGTTACAGTTTTGAGCGAGGATAAAAGGATTCAGTTTGAATAAAAAAAAAGCTCAAAGTAATGGAAAAACATCAGGTTTGATGCAACTTCAGTTTAAACTAACTCCATGGGCAACATTTTAGATGGTGAATCTTGATGGTGAATCTTCAATTCAATTCATTTTATTTATATAGCGCCAAATTCACAACACAAGTCATCTCAAGGCACTTTACAGTTCAACCAGATCATACAGTCAGATTGATACAAAGTTTTCTATCTAAGGAAAACCAGTTGATTGCATTGACTCAAATACAATCCCTCACACTAAGCATGCTTGTAGCGACAGTGGAGAGGAAAAACTCCCTTTTATCAGGAAGAAACCTCCAGAATCTTCACCAAATGTTCCTAATTTTCATCATCTCAGTTTTTCGTCAAACATTAATCCACGTTTTTGGTGCACTTTGTGGACTTTTGGAAGAAGCCGAGACTCTAGCAAGCGAATGTTTAAAATTTATTTAACGTCCTCGGACCAGGGGCGGATTTAGGAAATTTGGGGCCCTAGGCAAAAACAGGCATGGGGCCCTCTGAATTGACCCATTATAGAGATACCGAGATGTTAATAGAATAGACATCCATTATCTGTTCTAGGTTGTGTCCCTCTCTTCTTGTCCCTTTTCTTCTTGTTTTCCTCTCTATGTTTTGTACTCAGCTGACTTTTCATGCTGTCTCTAAAGGAATGAAAGATTTTTTCCAAGCACTAAGCTCACTTAGCTGATTGCTCCTTCCTGTGTTTCCAAAAAGGCCAAAGTAAATAACCCAGTCCTTCTTTTCACTGTAGACAAGCCATGATCTGCTTATCTGTTCTCCATTTTTCATTTGGATGAAATAATAGCTGCATGAATCATGACAGCAGACAAGATAGAGGAGAGCAGGAGGCGGGGTTACCAATCTACTCGCTCTGGAGAGCAGAGTTCGCTGCTTTTAGATGTTGTCTCCAAAGTCTCCAGTAGCAGAAAAAAGTCTCTAGATTTGGCGCTAGGTGCTTTTCTGAAATAAATGCATTAGAGGGGTCTGACAAGTTGCTAAATATAGCAACAAAAGCGCTAAGTTAGCAACACTGCTCTTTGCATCGTTTGTTTTCAAATGGTTTGCTGTTTGGACCTTTCTGAACATTTGCAGCAAATGGACTGATCCAATATGGTGGACGCTGAAGGGGGCAGAGACACACTTAATATTATAGTTTCATCAAAAAGATAATTAATGTGCACAAATATATATTAAAAATATATATTTTATGGGCCCCTCAGGAACTTGGGGCCCTAGGCAACTGCCTAGTATTGCCTAATGGTAAATCCCCCCCTGCCTCGGACGGAGAGACAGAACTCTGACCTTTATACAGCAATTCCCACAACACACACTCTCCCTTGGAACTAACCCACCTCCTGCATAAAGAACTTTCTCAGACTTGAGTTCATCGAGGCCATTCCCTGTTAGGTTAATATATCTTTCCCTGGCCAAATTGATCTTCTCAAAACAACATTTTTCCCCTAATGCCATGAAGGAGGCTGTGTGACTCATTCTTATCTCTCATGACCTTCGTTTGGAGTCTGTGAGGCTAAGAACAGATGTACCTCAACATTTTTTACTCCACAACAGATACACTTTATACCCGAGGCCTCTGCTTAACGTACAGAAACATGTAGATGAGAGACGGAAAGCAGAAGGAACAATTGTAAAACACGGTGGTGGCTGCAGCAGGCTGTGGCAGGTAAAGGGAAGGTGCCTGAATATGAAACCCTTAGGATTTCGTTGCGCTTTTTCTCCTCGTTCCTTCTCTATCAGAAAATGGGAGCAGAATACGCCATTGTTTATGTTGGTTATGTTTATTTTTCCACGTCTCCACAGAGCGGCAGCAGATCCTTAAAGGGGTCCAGAACATCGTGGTGAAAGCGGCCCGTCGACGTTCCAAAGCCCTGGAAGTGGATGTCCTGCGTTTACCCGCCGCCCCCTCTCCGCTGGACCCCAAGAAGCAGAAAAGCAACCTTTCTTTGATAGAGGCGCCCCCTACAGGTCTCCCCCTGCGCCGCGGCCGGCAGCCGAGCCCTGAGCTGCGACACGCCACCTCTGATGATAACCTGTCCAGCAGCACAGGGGAGGGGCCGGGCCTCCATGTGACCTGGACGCGTCCTCGCAACCGCTTCGCTACCAACAAGAACCAAACGCCTCGCGAAGTCGACTTCGAGGCTCGTCGCAAGAAAAGACGCTCAAGGTCTTTTGAGGTCACCGGTCAAGCAGTGAGTCATTTTAATTTATTATGCCATCTTAGATTTAGTCTTCTCCCTCAGGACGAAAACTGTTATTAGTCTTAGTCGCATGTTAGTCACGATATGTAATAGTTTTAGTCGGTTTTTGTCGACTAAAACTTAAACAGGTTTTAGTCAGTTTTACGTTGCACAAAAAAAGGTAATCTTTACAATTTCAATTAACAACCAGATTCTTTTCCAGACTGACAGCTCTAGCATAGATACTACAATAGCTGGGTATAGAATGCTGCCCTGCAGTTCATCATTGCTATTGGGCAGAAAATTAAATTCAGTTTTGTTTCAATTAATTTCTATAGCGCCAATTCACAACACACGTCATCTCAATGCACTTTAAAGTTCACCAGATAACCCAGACAAATTGATTCTATCCAAGGAAAACCTGTTGATTGCATCGACTCATTGACTCTTCAGCAATCCCTCACACTAAGCATGCTTGTAGCGACAGTGGAGAGGAAAAACTCCCTTTGAACAGGAAGAAATCTCCAGCAGAACCAGGCTCAGTGTGAGCGGCCATCTGCTGAGGCCCACTGGGGTTCAAGGAGACAGAAGCAGACATAGAAAAAGAAGCATAGATACAAAAGGCAACTGTCAACCAGCTCCACAGGCGGCCCCGTCCAGGAAACACACAGCCAGGCAGACGAGCTCCGAGCCAGCTCCCATGTCAGAGCATGAAGAGAGCACATCCAGTTAGTCACAGTCAGAGAAACAGGACTACACTGGAAAACAGGCCAAGCTCCAACATCTAGAAACAAAGGTGTTGATGGCAGCAGCACAGCTGATATTTCTCTCCAGGATGGAGTCACAGCCAAACAGGAACAGACCAGATGAAGCTACTATGAGAAAAAGCAGAGAGAGCAGAACGTTAGAGATTGAACTAACAGAGTCTGCAGAGTGGGAGAATAGAGATAGAATGAAGCAGAATGATGAAAAAGGGGTCCCTATGTCCTCCAGCAGTCTAAGCCTATAGCAGCAGAACTATAGAGATAGATCAGGATAACCTGAGCCACTCTAAAACAAAAACGAAAGTTTTCAATGACAAAAATGTTTCACTGATAATACAAGGAAAACTTTTATATATATATATATTTATATTTGAATAGATAGAAATGAGAACAATGAGAAATATTCAAAGATTGTTGTTCCTTTTCATCTGGATCTTTATGCAAAACTAAACAGAATCCAATGAAATATTTGATTTGGATGTAATTTAGGAATCCTTTAAGTGGAAAATAAAGGTTTAGTATCACCTGTTGTGAGCTGGAATAAATAAAATCTTAATAGTAAAGGCCTGGTTATCCTCTAGCAGCAGTGTGTCGCAGTGAGTTTGTCGCAGATATTTCTGATTTATGCCCAATATTGAAGCGTGGTCTGCTCTTTGTTACTCCACGCCACAAGGAAGAGGGCCAATCAGAAACTAGCTGTGGGTCTAGGTACGGTAGAGGGGTCTGAAAAGTGGCTAAATATAGCGACTAAAGCGCTAAGTTGGCAACACTGCTCTTTGCATGGTTTGTTTTCAAATGGTTTGCTGCTGTCTGTTTGGACCTTTCTGAACATGTGCAGCAAATGGACTGATCCAATATGGTGGACACTCGAGGGTGGGGGGGTGGGGGGGGGGCTGAGACACACTTAATATTATCAGCGTTCTGATGCCATTTTAGCCAAAGGATTTTTATCAAAAACATAATGTTCACAGATAAGGAATAGCTGTATTAACCCTACATGTAAACAGAGTTTTATGGGGCCCCCAGGAACTTGGAGCCCTAAGCAACTGCCTAGTATTACCTAATGGTAAATCCTCCCCTGCTTGTAACTCCTGACTAAATCTCTAACACCGTCCCGTTCCTCTCACTTGCAGCTGCCTCCAACCAAAGCCATCACAGCTCAGAGGTTTCGGCCTCTGGACAGCACGTCGGACCCTCATCTTCATATAAACGGCCAACCCCAGGCCCCCATGCTGCGCCCCCAGTACAGAGGGGTCCCTCCTATCGCCAAAGTCAGGCCTCACCACAGCAGCCACACACCAGCAGGTAAGCAGCTGTCTGTTATGGGTAGAAAGCGACTTTCCTTCATTCCTCAGTTTATTTAACTCATCGGTCTCCATAGGGTCGAACGCTGAGTCTTCTACGACCAGCATGAATAACCTGAAGAGGGGACCTCACCTGCGGCACCCGCTTCTCTACGTCACCACCACAGGCACCGGAGCCCAGCGTGGCCGCAGATACTGAGCAAGCAGACCAAGAGGCGGCCATCTGTCAGGTGTCTGACCCTTCACAGGGTGTTTATCCCCCCAAAAGACCCCAAAATCCTGCTGAACCCTTCAAGTTCAATACCAGACATCTGCCGTTCTGAGAAGCAACTTGAAGGAGACTTTAGGGCTGGTTATCCTCCCGCAGCAGTGTGTCAAAGATAGCTTGTCGCATCTATGATGCAGATATTTTTGATTTATGCCCAGTTTTGAAGCATGGTCTGCGCTATGTTATTCCACAACACCACGCAAGAGGGACAATCACCAACTACCTAGGATTGTGGATGTCCGTGTGTCAGTTTGATGAGCTTGTTCGCCGTCTACAACCCCTCATCCAATGCCGGACGACGCACGGTTCACCCGTGAGTGTTCCCCAAAGACTGGCCGTGGCGCTGCGTGTTTTGGCTTCAGGTGCAAACCGACAGACCGTCACAGAGCTACAAACTAACGTCCAGCATGGAGTCTGGGATAGTGTCCAAGGTGTGCCAGGCATTGTGGACGGCGCTACACCAGAGTTTCTGCCATTAGGAACCAAACAGGAAATACGCACACTGGAAAAAATCGAAATCTAGATAAGTCTTTTTTTCTTAAAGTCGTAGGGAAGCGGCTGTTCCAACCGTTTCTCCCGAATTCTCCCGATTGGTGCCCGACTGTACATGTGTGAATAAAGTGAATGTGATTGGTCGATTATCAAGGGGGCGGGATTGTTGTGGCGGAAGGTTTGCAAGCAGGTTTGATTGTGGCCGGTTTGTCAGAAGCATCTTGCTAACCAGTTAGGAACTTAGCGCTAGCAGGTTCCCAATGGGAAATTCCATTGGGACCAAGTAGCACTAAATTGGTGACTTAGAAACGACGCTGTCAAGGAACGCTATGGACAGAGGAAACATGCAAGAGGAGGAGAGTTTAGTGTCGGAGGTCGTGGATGAGTCTCCTCCGTCATCCATTTTTTATTTAGAGGGGGAAAGCGGGGACGAAGATGTTGTGGAAGAGGACGCCAGGGCGGCAGAAGCTTGGTTTGTGTAGAAGGCTTCCAGCCGTACGTGTTTGAGCCGGTTCCGGGCTGCCAGTTCTGTTAGCTCTACGCCTGCCGAAGACACAGACGTCCATCCCCGTGAACACTGGGACGCAACTCAATGGGAAAGGAAACGATTCTGGTTTCAACCGTTGCGTATATTAGCTGCGACATATGAATCAAGATGCTATGACCGAAAACATTTGATTGACAGATGACCGTTGATATATGATTGGCCGAATTTAGGTGTTCAGGCTGACGTAGAACTAACTGGCCTGCAGAAGATAACGGGAAAAAATCGAAATTTTCTAAATTTCGGGACAATATGGTCTGATAAAGAGTACATTTATATACACGTTTAAGCCAGAATGATTTGAAATTTAAATATGATTTTGCTACGACTTTAAAATAAGTGCATTCGTTCCTAAATTGAGGAGATAAAAAGAGACTTTTGGCCAATGAAACAAGACAATTTAGATTTAAAATAAGAAAACACAATTGCATTGTCTTGTTTCCAGTGCAGATTATCGAATTATCTTACACTGGAAAAAATTGAAATCTGCAAAGGTAATTTTTTGTTAAAATAATTGCATTTATTCTTGAATGTAGGGGGTAAGGGAGACACTTTGTCAATGGAATAAGACAATTTACATTTAAAATATGAAAAAAACAATTTATTGTCTTATTTTAAGAGTAAATTTACTCATCCCATTGGCAATGAATCTTATTTACCTACTCAAATTAAGGGTAAATACATTTAATTTAAGACATTTTGACTTATTTCTAGATCATTTTTGCAGTGTAAGAGTAAAAATACTCATTCCATTGGCAAACTATCTCATTTACCTTTTCAAGTCAAGGTTAAATAGACTTAATTTAAGCAATTTTTACTCATTTCTAGATAATTTTTCCAGTGCATGGTGTAGAGCGGATGTAGAATCGACCAATCAGAGGCCTCCTGTCTGCAGTCACCTGCAATTCACCTACAATTTTGGGAGTTGCAGCAGAGTGTCTGCGAAAGGGGCGGGAGCATATCTGCGTTAACTGCGACACACAAGCGGACGACCGGGTTTATGAGCGTAAACCGTCCTGTAAGAACTCAAAAATCCCAGAGGAGTCAAAGTCTGAGGCGAACCTTTACTGGTTTACTGGTGGTTCCCCTTCCCATTGGCTGGGGCATTTATTATCATGTATTTTACACATGAACTTTTATATTCCTATTCTAGGGGAAACCCTTTTAAGTTTCTTAAACGTTTGTACTTGTTTTCCGTGGAGCGTTTGGCAGCTCACTGCAGCTCCTTCTGTCCGGCCGCTCTCTGGGCCCTCCCTGGTATTGAGACCATCGTCTGCATGTATGAAAGGAGGAGAAAACATGATGATGATGATGATGATGACTCAGGATCTGCTCCTTTAAAGAGCAACTTTACTTCAAACCACCAGGATAGGAATGTGAGGAAAACTGAAACGCTGAAGTCGTCAGGTTGGCGGCCTGTGATTCGTCTGTGTCTCTGTCTCATCCTATGATGCAATCCGTCCACTTTTAACCCTTTATAGGGCGCTCAGTGAAATAGTTTGAAAATAAAAACTTCAAGCCAATAGTGTTAATCGGAATCCAGGACCTTTTTACCTTTGTAACATTAAAAATATCTGGAAATTTTGATGCACTGGAAAAAAACGAAATCTAGATAAGTAATTTTTTCTTAAAATAAGTGCATTTGTTCTGGGATTGAGGAGGTAAAAGACACATTTTGCCAATGGAACAAGACAATTTAGATTTAGAATGAGAAAACACAATTGCATGGTCTTATTTCAAGTGCATATTATCTAATTATCTTATTTTAAAAGTATAAATACTCATTCTATTGGCAAATCTTCTCATTTACCCACTCATATTAAGGGTAAATATACTTCATTTGAGAAATTTTTACTTATTTCTAGATCGTTCTTCCAGTGTGGGAAAAATTGATGTCAATGTAAAAACAAGAAATGCCAACACTGCAAAAACAATCCAGAAATAAGTAAAAAATGGCTTAAATTAAGTATATTTTGCCTTAATTTGAGCAGGTAAATAAGATGATTTGCCAATGGAATGAGTATTTTCACTCTTAAAATAAGATAGTTAGATAATATTTACTTGAAATAAGACGATAAAATAGTTTTTTCTTATTTTAAAAGGAAATTGTCTTGTTCCATTGGCAAAGTGTCTTACTTATCTCCTCAAATCAAGGAAAAACACACTTATTTTAAGAAAAAATTACTTATTGAGATTTATATTTTTTGCAGTGAACTTGCTTGCATATATTAAGAGAATAACAAAAGTGCTTCTATACGAAATTCATAAAAAACACTGAGAGTGAAAGAAACACATTTTATTTGGTCCAACATAACCTTAGAGGCATTAATGCTGATACTGGCACTTATTTTTTTAGTTTATGAACCTAAATAGGATTGTTAAGTAGGCTAATTAACTTTACTTTTTAACTTTTCACTTCATTTCAACCTTTTTACTTAATTTCCAGTAGGTAATAAATCATTTAAGGTCTCATCTAATTGGTCAAATGCCAAAATAAGATGTGCAGCCATGTAGCAGGATCAATGTTGAATGGATGGATATAGATCTAGTGCTTCTAGACCTCACTGAGGGATGGAGGGGCTCCATTTGTAATGGGTATGCAACTTGCTCTATAAAGGGTTAAGGAACTTTTTATTCTTTTGGTTTTAATGTGTTTTTTTTTCTCTGTTCTGTTTCGGTTCCTCACATTGTGCATCCTGCACCGCGCTGTGATACTTGATGAATGTAGATGCTGTCATAGCCAAACCTGTGCTGTAAAATAGAATGCATCGTTTTGTACGTTTTGTTTTTTTAATGCTGATTCTTCCTGCATTTGCTCTACAGTCGTATCTGATTTTTCATTCTGATTTGAAACTCATGAAGCAGCACAAGTTTTCCTAGTTCCTCTAATAGTTTGATCATTGCTGGAAAACATAGTTCTCTACGTTTAATCTAAGAGCTGCTGCAGAACCTCAAATTCTGCTTTGCAGAGTGTTTTACTTTGCCTTAAACTGTTTGTTTTTTGCATATTTTAAAACTCACACATGCAAAAACAATCTAGAAATAGGTCTAAATGTCATACATTAAGTGTATTTAATTTGAGTAGGTAAATAAGATTATTTGCCAAGGGAATGAGTATTTTTACTCTTAAAAGAAGGTAATTAGATAATATGTACTTGAAATAAGATGATGCAATTGTTTTTTTTCCCCTCTTTTTAAATGTAAGTAGTCTTGTTCCACTTGCAAAGTGTCTCAGTTACATCCTCAGTTCAAGAAAAAATGCACTCATTTTAAGAAAAAATTACTATTTATCTAGATTTCGATTTCTTTCCGGGGCAATAAATTTTTTTTTATATATATATATAAATATTTAATTTCAGCAATTCTTTAAAACTAATTTCAAATGAAAGGTTACTTTTGTTTTTTTCTCTTTGAGTTCACTTTTTTTATTTCCATTATTATCATTGCTGATTAAACCACTTCAGTTGAGAGATTATTCTGAACCAAGTGCAAAATATTTTAATGCAACTTCAGTCATTTGCAGGGATTTTGAATAAACTAATTAGAAAAATAATAAAAAAAATCTGTATTTCATTAAACCTGAACAGTTTGCTTATTCGATGTTAAACTTTAGAGTTGCAAATTTAAAGAGTCAGCTAAAGTTATGTCCACTGCTGTCACTTCCATCGACGTGGAATAAAAAAAACCTTTGTACAAATTGCATAAACTGAAATAAAGAGTTTGAAATATAAGAAAAAAGAAAAAAAAACTTGTTATTAGTCAAAACAGATCAGAGAAAATTCACTCATGTCAGTGTTGTATTAAACTCTCTATGCTCGACTGTTAAAAGTAAGGAAATGTTTGTTCCTGTCAGACTGAAGTGCTGATTTATGTGAGAAAAAACAAGTATGCGTTCCTGTAGATTCTGCTTCCTGACTCCACAGCTCCTCTGCCTTTTTACATCAAACATCAACACATTAAAAAAGTCATGCATATCATAGCAGATTATGTTTTTTTTTTCCAGACTAGTTGGTTCATAGTTATTTAACTTATGCCTTTTTCTTTTATGATATTTATAGTTTTCATATTTGCTCCTTTCTATCATTTTTTGTATTTTTTTTTTATTTGTTCCTAAATAAAATGTACTGAATTGTGTAAAAGGCAGGTGTTTACGGATCTCCTTATTTTCTGATTTGCTTTATTTGGGGTTATTCCTTTTACAAATAATATAACTATAGAAGATTTTTTTTTTTTTTTTAAGAAATTTTTTTTCCCTGTACTTATACCCTGTTTTACTTCAGTTAGGGCAGCCTACTTACTTTAGTTCCTAAATTTAAGAAAAACATTTTTTATATATATTTTATTTCTTATTCAAATTAAGTTAGATTTTTGGTCCTTTAAATGATTTAAAAAGCTAAGATGATGTTCTAATGGTTGCATACCCTTCCGATTACACTATTCTGAGTTAAATCAAGCCAAACCCAAAAACATTAAAGAATAATCATGAAAAGGGCTTTTAAACTGCTGTATTCTAAAATGGCCACAAGATGGCGCACTGTGACTTAACGTGTATTTTCTTGACAGCACATTAATTGGTATTAAAAAAAAATAACACATTGGCATTTAACTGATGTGTTAAAATTTAACTTTTGTTTCGTTTGTTGGTGTTTCTTTTTTTCTTGGTGTGTCACATATCTCGGCAGATGTTAATTTTTGACTTAAATACACGATTGAAACTAAACTAACAGCTATTAAGCCTTTAGAAATGAGACCTTTTCCTGTCTAACATTGAGAGTCATACGAAAATGCATATATATATATATATATATATATATATATATATATATATATATATATATATATATGTACAATATTCACTCTGGAGCTGATTAAATGCCATAAAATTAGAAGCCCAGTGGTTTGAATGGCCGCAGGAAGTGGGGATGCTACAGCACCCCCTAGTGGCGACCGGAAGATTTTATTTTTTTAATGTCATAAAAGTACAGGTGCTGGTCATAAAATTAGAATATCATGAAAAAGTAGATTGATTTCAGTAATTCCATTTAAAAAGTGAAACTTGTATATTATATTCATACATTACATACAAACTCATATATTTCAGATGTTTATTTTGTTTAATTTTGATGATTACAAATGACAACAAATGAAAATCTCAAATTCATCATATCAGAAAATTAGAATATTGCTGAAGACCAATAAAAACAAAGGATTTATAGAAATGTTGGCCAACTGAAAAGTATGAACATGAAAAGTATGAGCATGTACAGCACTCAGTATTTAGTTGGGCCTCCTTTGGCCTGTATTACTGCAGCAATGCGGCGTGGCATGGAGTCGATCAGTCTGTGGCACTGCTCAGGTGTTATGATAGCCCAGGTTGCTCTAATAGTGGCTTTTAGCTCTTCTGAATTGTTGGGTCTGGTGTATTGCATCTTCTTCTTCACAATACCCCATAGATTTTCTATGGGGTTAAGGTCAGGAGAGTTTGCTGGCCAATTAAGAACAGGGATACCATGGTCCTTCAACCAGGTACTGGTAGCTTTGGCACTGTGTGCAGGTGCCAAGTCCTGTTGGAAAATGAAATCTGCATCTCCAAAAAGTTGGTCAGCTGCAGGAAGCATGAAGTGCTCTAAAACTTCCTGGTATGTGGCTGCGTTGACCCTGGACCTCAGAAAACACAATGGACCAACACCAGCAGATGACATGGCACCCCAAACCATCACTGACTGTGGAAACTTTACACTGGACTTCAAGCAACGTGGATGAAGTGCCTCTCTTCTTTTCCTCCAGACTCTGGGACCTTGATTTCCAAAGGAAATGCAAAATTTACTTTCATCAGAGAACATGACTTTGGACCACTCACCAGCAGTCCAGTCCTGTTTCTCTTTAGCCCAGGCAAGACGCTTCTGACGCTGTCTGTGGTTCAAGAGTGGCTTGACACAAGGAATGCGACAGCAGAAACCCATGTCTTTCATACGTCTGTGTGTGGTGGTTCTTGAAGCACTCACTCCAGCTGCAGTCCACTCTTTGTGAATCTCCCCCACATTTTTGAAGGGGTTTTGTTTCACAATCCTCTCCAGGGTGCGGTTATCTCTCTTGCTTGTACACTTTTTTCGACCACATCTTTTCCTTCCCTTCGCCTCTCTATTAATGTGCTTGGACACTGAGCTCTGTGAACAGCCAGCCTCTTTAGCGATGACCTTTTGTGTCTTGCCCTCCTTGTGCAAGGTGTCGATGGTCGTCTTTTGGACAACTGTCAAGTCAGCAGTCTTCCCCATGATTGTGTAGCCTATAGAACTAGACTGAAAGACCATTTAAAGGCTTTTGCAGGTGGTTTGAGTTAATTAGCTGATTAGAGTGTGGCACCAGGGGCCATCAATTTTCAACCTTTTCACAATATTCTAATTTTCTGATATGATGAATTTGAGATTTTCATTTGTTGTCATTCGTAATCATCAAAATTAAACAAAATAAACATCTGAAATATATGAGTTTGTATGTAATGTATGAATATAATATAGAAGTTTCACTTTTTAAATGGAATTACTGAAATCAATCTACTTTTTCATGATATTCTAATTTTATGACCAGCACCTGTACTTGAATTTGTTCGAAGTGTTTTGCCTTTTTTATGTTACTGTTACAGGTATTTGAATTTAAATTTGGTAATTTAGTTATTTTGAGGCCTAATCATCACAAGTTCTGTGTTCTTTGCGTGGTGGCTGTGGAGAATTGTTCATTAACATCTAAATAATCATATATTTATTTTGGTTTGTGTAAAAGGATTTTGGAGCAAATAGAGTCCCGTGTGACATAAAGAGTGATTCAGGTTCATCTAAGTTGTTATAGTGGTTATTGTGAAGTTTAACTAATATATTCAGCCGAGAACTGATGATGTCTGGGCGCACTGAAGTATATATGAAAATAAAGTAGTGAATCTCAATCTATTTACGTATTTTTATTTATTGTATTTTAGGCTCATAGGTCTTTTGTTAATATATATATATGTATATATTTATATTTGTTTATTAATATATATATTTATTTATATATATGTCATTATTTTTAATTTTTTCACAGCACCCCTTGTTCAGAAAGACTTCCAGCGGCCCTGCTAGTTTATAATAATTAAAACATATGAAACAACTTATTTATTGCTCAGTGTGTGCATTTCGGAATTCCCGCCTCGTAAAGTATTGTATATCTGTTCTCGTCCAATGAAAAACGTTTCCAGTCTGATTGATCGTTCAGTCGACCAATCAGAGCTAGGATCGCGGCTCGCGTCTGGCTGATTTGCAACCGGCTGAAGCAACAGCAGAGAAGAAGAGAAAATGTCGCTGCCTCGCAGTCGGACCGTTCCAGGATCAGCGGTGTTTCAGTGAAAAAATAAACACGTCAATTCGGTGAGTAGCGCCACCGTCATCAGTGGCAACTTCAGCCAGAGTCCCAGGTTATCAGAAAAATGAACCGCGGACTTTTATGCTCATTGAGCTCATTTTCTCTGGAGGTTTTTCCACGGCGGTAGAAAGAGAGAGGAGCAACATTAAGAGCTGGCAGCCATGATGGTTGTTTGGATGCAGCCAGTTAGTGGCTTCCTCTGCCTGCAGTTCCCATGTCTGTCCCTCAGTCTGCACTCTCTGCATTTCTGCTCACTTTAAACCTTTTACTACATAGAAAATAATCACATAGTTTTAGTGCATAAATTCAAAATGTGATTATTTTTCTACTTTATAATAGGTTGTGTCACATATTTTTAATGAGGCCAAATTTAATTTTAGAATTTGATTGTAAAGTTTTTTTTTCTTTTGTTTCTCTTTTTATTTCGTCTGCTCCTAGAGCTGCTAATCTAGATGTCAAAGCACAGCACTATGTTTGAAATGTTAAAATATAACAATGGAAATGATTCCTATTATTTTATAAATATTTGTATGCTTTTCTATACTTGATCCATTAGCTTTGTAATTTAAAAAATAAAACTATGCAGCATATATATGTATATGTATACGTATATATATATATATATATTTTTTTTTTATTTTTAATTTTTTTTAATATATATATATATATAAAATATGTGTATATGCATGTGTATATATATATATATATTTTTTTTTTATTATATATATATATATATTATATATATATATAAAATATGTGTATATATATATATATATATATATATATATATATATATATATATATATATATATATATAAAATATGTGTGTATATATATATATATATATATATATAAAATATGTGTATATGTATGTATGTATCTATATATATATACATATATACATATACACATGTATATAATATGTGTATATATATATATATATATATATATATATATATATATATACATTCACCGGCCACTTTATTAGGTACCCCATGCTAGTAACGGGTTGGACCCCCTTTTGCCTTCAGAACTGCCTCAATTCTTGGTGGCATAGATTCAACAAGGTGCTGGAAGCATTCCTCAGGGAGTTTGGTCCATATTGACATGATGGCATCACACAGTTGCCGCAGATTTGTCGGCTGCACATCCATGAGGCAAATCTCCCGTTCCACCACATCCCAAAGATGCTCTATTGGATTGAGATCTGGTGACTGTGGAGGCCATTTGAGTACAGTGAACTCATTGTCATGTTCAAGAAACCATTCTGAGATGATTCCAGCTTTATGACATGGTGCATTATCCTGCTGAAAGTAGCCATCAGAAGTTGGGTACATTTTGGTCATAAAGGGATGGACATGGTCAGCAACAATACTCAGGTAGGCTGTGGCGTTGCAACGATGCTCAATTGGTACCAAGGGGCCCAAAGAGTGCCAAGAAAATATTCCCCACACCATGACACCACCACCACCAGCCTGAACCGTTGATACAAGGCAGGATGGATCCATGCTTTCATGTTGTAGACGCCAAATTCTGACCCTACCATCCGAATGTCGCAGCAGAAATCGAGACTCATCAGACCAGGCAACGTTTTTCCAATCTTCTATTGTCTAATTTCGATGAGCTTGTGCAAACTGTAGCCTCAGTTTCCTGTTCTTAGCTGAAAGGAGTGGCACCCGGTGTGGTCTTCTGCTGCTGTAGCCCATCTGCCTCAAAGTTGGACGTACTGTGCGTTCAGAGATGCTCTTCTGCCCACCTTGGTTGTAACGGGTGGTTATTTGAGTCACTGTTGCCCTTCTATCAGCTCCAACCAGTCTGGCCATTCTCCTCTGACCTCTGGCATCAACAAGGCATTTCCGCCCACAGAACTGCCGCTCACTGGATGTTTTTTCTTTTTCGGACCATTCTCTGTAAACCCTAGAGATGGTTGTGCGTGAAAATCCCAGTAGATCAGCAGTTTCTGAAATACTCAGACCAGCCCTTCTGGCACCAACAATCATGCCACGTTCAAAGTCACTCAAATCACCTTTCTTCCCCATACTGATGCTCGGTTTGAACTGCAGGAGATTGTCTTGACCATGTCTACATGCCTAAATGCACTGAGTTGCTGCCATGTGATTGGCTGCTTAGAAATTAAGTGTTAACGAGCAGTTGGACAGGTGTACCTAATAAAGTGGCCGGTGAGTGTATATACACCGTATATATAAACATACATACACACACACACACATATATATGTAATAATTGTATACTTGGGGTGGAACGGTTCACAAAATCGGTTCGATTCACGGTTTCTGGTCACGGTTTTAGGTTCGGTTCGGTTCAGTATATGTTGATTGTTACACCGAAATCCCATAAAAATTAATGAAATTAATGAAAAAATCCCCCCAAAAATAATGGATTGTAATTATTTTTAATGATCCGCGGAAACCCTGGATCATTTCCGCATGTTTTGCTGCTTTGAATTTAATCATCTGGCGCATGCCCTCTATGATCTCCAAGGGAGCCACAGTGGAGGCTGTAGGCTTTGCTTTGAGCACCCGGTCTGGAGCACAGCGGGGCGGAGCGCTGACGGAGTATGAGGGATTCCGGGGTTAGCATGACATGTTGGTCATGTTGCTGTTAGCATAAACAACACGTGTTGCACAATGCTTGCGCACTGTTGCACTTTTATCCACAGCTTTCTTCCCGCCGTCATCGTAGGTCACTCTAAATGCAAAGTGGTCCCATACAGCAGACCTATAAAGTGCTGCTGGCGCGTCTTCCAACTCCTGTTCTTTTACCACTCGCCATACCCACACAATTCTCCACAACAACTGATTATTTTCTGCTACACCCGGCTACGCTGCTTCGCTTCTTCTTCTTGTTTACTACTGGTGGTTGGCTTTGGTCGCAGTACCGCCACCTTCTGCTCTGGAGTGTAAACGCTTCGCCTATGAGAAAAAGGAGCAGCGCATGAACCGAACGCAACACATGCGAACCGAACCGAGACAGTCGAACCGAACGGTTCGGACGGTTTTCATAAACCGTTCCATCCCTATTGTCTGGTGTGAGTTTTTTTTTTCTTCATTTATTTCAGTTTTTTTTTTCACTTAAAAACAAAAATCTGTAATCTCATTAGTGTGTTGTAATTCAGTCATTTCTTAATGAAGTCTTAGTTTTCCATTAAACATTTGGTTCAATTCTTTGTTCATTTGATATTATTGGAATTATCTTCTTTAGTTGGAGGTTTATTATCAGGATTATTCAGATTCTAAACATGTTTTGATTTTTTCTTTTTCAGGTTAAATCCTGACCTGTGTTGTCGTGTAACTCCTTTAATAATGTGGAAAGTCTTCCAGGACGTCTAGATAAGTCTGAATAAGTGGTTCCATCCTTCTAATCTGCTTCTGTTTGAAAGAAGACCTTTTTTTTTTTTTTTTGTAGAAGTATGGATCCTCCTCCCAGGGTGGTGGGTCTGGCTCCCCAAGCAAACATGGTTTTCACTGTTGTAAAGCCGGTAATGAGCATCTTCCAGGTGTCTCCAGAGCACGGCAGCAGCTTATCACAAGGCGAGATGGGGATGCAGGGTTTACTAGAACATCCACTAGTCCTGCCGCAGCAGGCGCAGCGTGAGGCCCAGTTAGCCCAGAACCACATGGAGATGCACAGCACGCCGCCTCAGATGGAGGTTTCTGCTCCGCTCCAGGGGGAGGGAGACGCCCACCACCAGGAGGCGCTGACTAACTCCAGCTCTAGCTCTGATTCTATCACCAAGATGCCGTTTGCAGAGGTGTCTTCCCTCCTGGATCCCAACATGAAAGGATCTAAGGCCCGTAAGTCACCAGTTCCGCCTTAAACCCAGTCTGTTACCCCGCTGTGCTGATTGGATCCTCTGACTTCATCCTCAGGGAAATATCTCATCTCTTACGATGAAATCAAAAGGCGGCTGCAGGCCCCAGAGAACATGTCCCTGCGCTCTCTGGCGGCGTACACCCGGGTCAGCAGAGGTCCGGCCAGCAAGAAAACCCTTCTGGAGTCGCTGAATGTCCTCGGCCTGACGCCGAGCACGACTACGGCGGTATCCTCCTCATTCTCCAAACTCACTGAAGGTGACAGACGCTCCGACTCGACAAGCAGCGAATTTAGAAGCATCCCTAAATATTCCTCTACACTCAGCCTTCTCTCAATTTGTCATGTTACGACCGCAAACTATTTCTCTGCTTTGCAACTCTTAAAAAGAAGGAAAGGAAACACTATTTTCATTACTTTGTACAAGTAAAATACCCTAAAGCAGGTTTACAAATTTTTGCCTGGAGCATTTCTGATGGCCAGCCTGACCTCACATGGTGAAGCTGCTGGTTGGTTTTATTAATGCCTCCAAAGATCTGAAGAAAGTCATGAAAATCATCAGCAAACATAGACGGACATGATCTAGTCAAATCAAATTAAAGTTTTCAGACTACTTATAAAACATTAAGGCAGAAGAAAAAAAACCCTAACAGTTAAAAAATCAGGCTGCAAGCGGCAGAAGCAGCTAATTTACGTGCAAAGTCAATGATTGACGTGCATTTTGGCGCAGTAAAAGGTCCTGCAGCGCGTTGTTGAGGTTCTCAGCATCTAATACGCGTGACGCACTACTGAAGCTGCAGATGCTGAAGATGGAAAAACTGAACTTTTACTGCTCGAGGCGCCACATCAACCAATCAGAGAAGCTGATCTGGGAGCTGGCAGGGAGTCAGACGCAGCACTGCTGATACAGAGCGCTATGATCACTCCTCTGAAACAGTTTATTAACGCCTAAATTAACTTCAAATGTAGAAACCTGCCGGCAGAATATGTTGGCTTTTATTATCCTGCTGCCTGCAGTTTGTAGCACAGACCTGAAAAACGCTAACATCTACTTCCAGCCGCCACCAGTGTTGCCAACTCCTCAGTAAGGAAAGTAGCTATTGGCTGTGCTAAAAGCCGCTAGAAGTCGCTAAATGACGCCATCGCCTAATTTGCATAATCTGCCACAGGAATTGATGTGCATGTTATTGATGCTAATAATGTTGTTACAGAGACACAAAAAGTGAGTAAAAACACTATTATATAGTGTTTTTACTCACTTTGATAAACAATAAATAGAGCTACTTTTTTCAGGGTTTGGTTCCCACTGTTTTGTGTATTTTTGACTGTTCAGTTTAGACTGAGACATAATGATTCTCACCAGCAGATCAATGCTAATCTTAGAGAGGAAAACACAATGGACAAGGTGATTAAGTGACTGACTGTGGCTGTGTGAATCAAATGCTGTTGTTTATTTAAGATAAAAGATTTCAAATTCAGTTATTTATTTTAGACCAAATAACATTTTACATTTACATCCCGCTCGCTCCCGCCTTGAATGTAAGTCAGGGCGGAGCGGCGTGATCAAATTGCGCTGTCAATCCCGGCGCATGCGCGCTTCATTTGCAGTCTGGACGCTGAGGGTAAACATCCTGCGGCTCTGACTGCAGCGCTGAGAGGGACTCCTGCGGGAGCAGGAGAACGGGGTTGGGGTGGGGGAGGCGCCCCACGGCAGCAGCTGCCGCTGGAGGACAAGAGTAGGAACGATACATGCTTTCACGTAAGAGTCTCCAAAAGCCGCCAGTGACACCGTAAAAAGTCGCCAGATTTGTCACTAGTCGCTTTTTTGAAAAATAGTCGCTGGAGGGGTCTGAAAAGTCGCTAAATATAGCGACAAAGTCTCTGAGGCCCCGTCCACACGAAGTCAAAACGAACACGAAACGCTAATATTTTCCAGAACGTTTGTCGTAAAGACGGAGACGTAAAATAAATGTGATCGTCCACACGAATGCATGAAAACGCTGCAAAATGTATGCCAGGCCTGTAAGTGGCGCTGTGGTGCCAAAGCAAAAATAGGCGACGAAATGTTGGGCATGCGCATTAATATTTAAACATGGTTGCCCTGCGGGTCCATTTTCGTGGTTCAGTCAAATTCAGGTGCTGAACTATGTGGTTGATATTGCTCTGTTCTTCCTGGAGATATTCCAGAAGAAGAAGATTCTGTTGTAAGCCCGACAGCAGGGTGAGTAGCATTAGCAGCAACCATTCAACACAGTACGGCGCCATTGTTGTTGTGATACTGTGTCGCGCATGCGTGTTTAGAGGCGACGCTATGACGCATGCGTGTAAGAAAAAAAATGCGGTTAGAGCGTAAAGATGGAAACGCGAAATTCAAAATCTTCCCACTCTGAAGGCTTAATAAAAAAAAGATCGTTTACAGACCCCTGAAACGCCGGCTTTGTATGGATGAGAGGCTGGTTTGGTGAAAAATTTGTGCGTTTAGGCCAGGGTTTGACTTCGTGTGGACGGGCCCTGAGTTGGCAACACTGCTGCCACCAACAGTAGGGGAAAACCCCCAAGAGGCGAGCGGACCTGAGGCAGCTGCTGCTGGGGATTCCCAGTGACAGCGCAGCGCCGGTATGTGGGGGTCTGAGCGGCTCCCACAGAGAAATAATCTTTGAAGGCAGGATGGTAATCTGGGTGAACTGACTGCACAGACCATGTTTTCAGGAGGACTTTCTCACTTCAACATAGATTAATTAGATAGATTACATAACTACTTTTTACCCGCTGATCACAGCTAATATAGCTGCCATTGTTCCAGGCAAAGAAAGGATAGGGTAGCTCCGCCCACCGCGCATCAGACCCACTTCTTGACCGCGCAGCCACAGCAGCAAATATGCTTCAGCCGCGCGTCAGAACTAAACTTGAACAAGCATCTAAAATGAAGCAGCACGCGCGTTTTTTCTGCTTCTGCTGCTTCTGCTGCTTTAGGTGTAAACGTAGCATAACAGTGGCTAGCTTCTAGCCATGGCGATCTGCACGAGCATTGGGGGTCGATTCGTTCATGTGTCAGGGTACGCTCACAGCGGGGAGGGACAAGCAGACAACCATGATCGACGTGTCATGGAACCAATCGTGTACAACGGTTTTGTGATTGGTTGGGGTTATTTTTTCATTTCTCACTGTAGCGAGGAACATTTATTTTAGTTTCAAACGCGCATCAGACCCACTTTTCCACCGCGCAGCTAGAGCAGCAAAGATGCTTCAACCGCGCATAAGAACCAAACTTGTAGAAGTATAAGAAATGAAGAAGCACGCGCGTTTTAGCTGCTATTGCTGCTTTAGGTGTGAACGTAGCGTAAGTCTTTTTCCGGCTTCACAAAGGCAGGCAGCAGCTTGAAAAAGCCATGATGGTAATTACTTTACATTTTTTACACAAACACACCAATTTCAAACAGATGGTATCGGTATGGGCCGATTCTGTACAGCCAGGCATCGGGTTTCACTATAGGGGCCGAAAAAAATAGCATCGGCGCAACAAAAGTTCAAATGTGTTACTTTTTAAGGGACTTTACATTTGAGAGGAAGGCGACGTTTTGACATTAAAATCATTTTTCTATTTCCTATTGTTCTTTTTCCAGGTGACACCAGAGCTCTGTGTGAAGATATGAAAGATTTTTCCCACGATTACATCGATTACAGCAACATGGCCAAACAACTCCTCCCTGAGACCAATACGGTTCAACACTGGTCCAAAATTATTGAAACCAAGTATGATGAGCCTTCAGCGGTGAGACATCAGCGCCATTACTCGCCACTCAGTCAAACACTTGGTCTCTTTCCCGCAGGAATCATCTGGAGGACATGAGGAAAAGTTTCAAGGACCCAGCAAACAGCGGCGCGTTCGATAACGTCACCCACGGCCTCGGCCTCGGAATGCTGGACGTTGCGCTGGACATGATCATAACGGTAATCGATCAGCAGATTCGCATTTTGTCCGGCGCAGCGGCTTCAGACCCTGGCGACTCCGCTATGCCTTCGTCCCGTCGCATACGGAGGCGCCAACGCAAACTACGGTCATCCGACAGCGAGAGGTCTCACAGGATCTGTGGAGGCGTGAAGGAGACGGGGAGGATCCTTTTAAAAAGCAAGGGGCGAGCCAGAGACGGGAAGAAGACGAGGACGGAGTCGGGAACCTCGGAAGGCGTGGAGTCCCAGGCGGGGCAGAGCAAGGCGGACGACGGGCGGAGCGATGTCCTCACCTTGGTGTCTGTGGGTTATGAGGCCGTCTCTAGTGGTTTGAATCCAGCCGGAGCCGTTTGACACCGGATCGAATCAAAGGACTCGGACTGATACTGCAGGACAAAACACCAGCTAGACGGGAAATAAAGTCACCATGACTCTACCGCATCTCTGACTTTTTTCTGTCACCTGAACCCGTTTTAGTTAAATAAAATATTAAGTCTGTTAGACGTAGAGCTATTAGACATCCTCTTTACCAATAAACTGTAGATTTATCTGATAATGAGCTGAAAAAGGCAAAGTCCAGTCAGCAAGGAATAATCAATGGATCATTATCTATACCTAAATCTACAGTAGTAGAAATTCAAAATTCCCCCAATTTCCTTGATGGGACTTTGTTCGGTCCACTACAATTCCTTTTTTAAACATTTAAAATTTTCTTTCTGTCATGATTTGTGGACATTAAGATCTAAAGAGAAGCATTATCTCCTGGTCAGACTCTGTAATTCAGAGAGAGTCAGAGTAAAACAATATGCAAGCCAATTAAAAGGCCAGTGGCTGGAAGTTGGAGGGGATTTTGCTGCCATTCGGTTGCTTTTTACTAGGAGGGACCATTTCTAATGGCTGCTACTGTAATACGTTTGTGGTGATTTAATGAGTTTAGCGTTAATAGCAAAAGAAATCAATAATTTTCGTTGCGATCACTGAGTCCTGGAGCGGCCATTTTTGGCCAGATATAGTAACCCCTCCCTCCTTCCATCTTCCAGCAGTGACATCACGGTGCTCCATCAGAATGACAAGGCAGGATGGTCTCCTGACTGAATCATGACACAGGAGTGGAGCATCCTCTTGCAAAAATGTTTCATAAGCACACATTAATTTTATAATCATCATTGAATAAACCTAACATGAGCCAAAAGGAACAAGAAACGAGCAGCTTCCTGGACATGGAGTAGAAAGTATATTTCAAATTGAAACGTAGTGGAGAGAAAGTTCGAAGTAGCCCAACAAAAAATCACCCAGGTAAAGATACTCAAAAAATCTCACTGCAAAAACGATCTAAAAATTAGTAAAAATGTCTTAAATTAAGTGTATTTACCCTGAATTTGAGCAGGTAAATAAGACGATTTGCCAATGGAATTAGTATTTTTACTCTTAAAATAAGATAATTAGATAATATACACTTGTAATAAGGCAATAGAATTGTTTTTTCTTATTTTAAATTGTCTTGTTCCATTGGCGAAGTGTCTCACTTACCTCCATTGTCTCAATTACCTCCATTCATTCACTTACCTCCATTCACTTACCTACATTCAGGGCAAAATGCAGTTATTTTAAGAAAAAAATCACTTGCTGAGATATGAATTTTTTGCAGTGTATACAATAAGTAAATACAGTAATCAAGTAAATGTGGAGGTTAACCTGCAAAGCTGCAGCTAACAGTTAACCTGTGCAGAAAACCAGTTTCTATCAGTCTCTCTGGGAAAAAATGAAATCTAGATAAGTAATTTTTTCTTAAAATAAATGCATTTGTTCTTGGATTGAGGAGATAAAAGAGACATTATGCCAATGGAAGAAGACAATTTACACTTAAAATAAGAAAACACAATTGCATTGTCTTATTTCAAGTGTATATGAGCTAAATATTTTAAGAGTAAAAATACTCATCCCATTGGCAAACTATCTCATTTACCAACTCATTTTAATGGTAAATACACTTAATTTAAGACATTTTTACTTATTTCTAGATCGTTTTTTTCCAGTGCTCTTGTTTTGACTCTAATTTTCTAGAAGCCAAAAGGCATTATGTGAGCTTGTGTGGCGGTAGGAATAAACTGAGGAGAGTCAGCCAAGTGCTAATACCTTAACAGTGCACACACACTGCATCAGTGCGCAGGTTTAGTGAGGATTTGCTCTGTATTAATCCTGACAGGGAACAGAGAGCCAGCTGGATTGTGCAGGAGAGAGGCAAAGCAGGCATGAGGCAAAACAAATATTTGAGCTAAAAAGGAAAGAAAAATCACTGGAAGGAAGGAAATGGAGAAGAAGAGTCACAGTATGTCAGTCTGAGAAAGTTTAATCGCCTGAACTTTGGAGACGGCAGCTGGGAGTAACATGGGGCATCCTAATGTGCCACTTTCCCAAAAACAAGCCCGGGCTCACAGGAACAAACACATATCCAGCCGGCTGCAGCCCTACGCCTCCAACGGTGAGTGGAGCACTAATAGACTTTTTAATGCATGTTAAACCTGGATTCTGCCTCAGTAACATGACCTGTAGCCTATATCAGGCCTCACACTGGAAAAAACTATCTAGTATTAAGCAAAAATGTCTTAAATTATGTGTATTTGCCCTTAGTTTGAGCAGGTAAATTAGATGTTTTGCCAATGGAATGAGTATTTTTACTCTTAAAATAACATAATTAGATAAAATGCAATTGAAATAACTGCTTTTATCTTATTTTAAATGTAAAATGTCTTGTTCCATTGGCAAAATATCTCTTTTACCTCCTCAATCCAAGAAATAATGCACTTATTTTAAGAAATAATTACTTATACAGCCAAGATTCTCAGTCATTCTAAGGAAAGGCCTTGTTCTGGTGTTTTCCACAGCTTTGAATGTGTGAACTTGCAATTATTGCAGGAGGTGGTTAATCACTTAAGGCCAACTGGTTCTCCAGATGATGTTATTTCGCCCCAATTATTTAAAGAAGCTTTCTCTGCTATAGGTCCTTCTGTCCTTGCTCTTGTAAATAGTAGCTTGTCCTCAGGCATTGTTCCTAACGCTCTGAAACATGCAGTTCTGCAGCCTCTACTTAAGAAACCAGCTTTGGATCCTACTGTTCTGGCAAATTATCGACCTATCTCTAAATTGCCTTTTATTTCAAAAATTCTTGAGAAGGTAGTCTGTAATCAGCTAATGGCCTATCTTAATGAACATAATGTATTAGAGGTTTTTCAGTCTGGTTTTAAACCATTTCATAGCACAGAGTCAGCCCTTTTAAAAGTTTTTAATGATATACTTTTAGCAACTGATTCAGGTGACGTTGTTGTTTTGGTGCTTTTGGATTTATCATCTGCTTTTGACACAGTTGATCATGTCATTTTACTTTCCCGTCTGGAACAGTGGGTGGGCGTCGGTCACATAGCTCTAGATTGGTTTAGATCATATTTGGCTGAACGTACTTTTTGTGTCTGTCTTGATGGCCATAGGTCCCCCTCTGCTCCACTGTCGTGTGGTGTCCCACAGGGCTCAGTTCTAGGCCCGCTCCTTTTCTCACTTTACCTTCTTCCGCTCGGCTCTATTTTAAGAAAACATGGGATTGCCTTTCACTGCTATGCAGATGACACACAGATATACTTACCGCTAAAGAATGTAAACTCCACCTCTCTTCGGTCTCTGTTTTTATGTCTTGAAGATGTGAAGGCCTGGGTGGCCCTAAATTTTTTAAAACTCAATGAGGACAAGACGGACGTAATGATCTTTGGCAGATCCACTGCTGATTCCGTGACTAGTCTTGGCTCCTTGGCTCAGTACGTTAAGCCGGTTATTACAAATTTAGGGGTTAAGATGGATGCTGGTCTTAAAATGGAAGCGCACATCAGAGCTGTTATAAAGTCCAGCTTTTTCCACTTAAGGCAGCTAGCAAAAGTAAAACCCATTCTTTCCAGACAGCATTTCGAAACAGTGATCCATGCATTTGTGACGACACGGCTGGATTACTGTAACTCACTTTATACAGGGGTCAGCGACTTGTATATTTCTCATCTTCAGAGGGTTCAAAATGCTGCTGCACGTCTTTTAACAGGTACACGAAAATTCGACCACATTTCCCCTGTTTTAGCTTCCTTACACTGGCTGCCAGTCTTTTATTTGTTTTTAAAACTCTTAATGGCCTTGCTCCTTCTTATCTGTCTGAGCTGTTACATTCTTATACACCCTCCCGTTCCCTCAGGTCAGCTGATCAGTTGCTTCTGAGGGTCCCAAAGACGAAATGCAAGCTCAGAGGAGACCGTGCTTTTTCTGTGGCAGCTCCTAAGCTGTGGAACGATCTGCCTCTGAGCATAAGACAGGCCTCTTCTCTTACTGCTTTTAAGTCCCTTCTTAAGACTCATCTTTTTTCCTTGGCTTTTGACACAATTTGAGACGTTTTACTTTGTTTTATTCTTTTTGTATACTAATATGTATTTTACACTCGTTTTTTCTCTATTTTATAATTTTATTGTATTTTATGATTGTGTACAGCACTTTGGTCCTGTTCGGTGTATAAAGTGCTTCATAAATAAAGTTGGTATGGTATGGTATGGTATTGAGGAGATTAGTGAGAAACCCTGCCAATGGAACAAGACAATTTACACGTAAAATAAGAAAACACAATTGTATTGTTGTATTTCAAGTGCATATTAACTAATTATCTTATTGTCTTATTTTAAGAGTAAAAATACTCATTCCATTGGCAAACTATCTAATTTACCTGCTCAAATTAAGGGTAAATACACTCAATTTAAGAAATATTGACTTATTTTTAGATCGTTTTTCCAGTGTGGAATGAGTATTTTTACTCTTAAAATAAGATAATTGGATAAAAAGCACTTGAAATATGACAATGCAATTGTTTTTTTATTATTTTAAATGTAAACACTGGAAAAAATCAAAATCCTGATAAGTAATTTTTTCTTAAAATAAGTGCATTTGTTCTAGAATCGAGGAGGTAAAAATGAAATTTTGTCAATGGAACAAGACAATTTACATTTAAATTAAGAAAATACAATTGTGTGGTCTTATTTCAAGTGCATTTTATGTAATTATCTTATTTTAAGAGTAAAAATATTCATTCCATTGGCAGATCATTTAATTTACCTGCTCAAATTAAGGATAAATACACTTAATTTAAGACATTTTTACTTATTTCTAGATCGTTTTTCCAGTGAATTGTCTTGTACCAGATGTCAATTCAAGAACAAATTAACTTATTTTAATAAATAATGACTTACCTAGATTTTGATTTTTTCTAGACTGGCTGAAGAGGCGATGTGCTCTGGTCTCCTGTAAAGGGGTGGGGGTTGCAATGATAGTGATGATCCATAATGCGTTTTACAATGAAAATCCAAAAAAGGTTAAAAAAAACAATCAACTGCATTGGGCACAATCAATGTTTCTAAATATGAAGACATTTCTCTTCCATCCAGGAAGCTTTTTCAGTTCAAAATGTCAGAAATAGCGTTTAGTTCCAGGTTTTATCCAGCAGCCCAACAAAGCCTGGTTTTAGTTTAGAAAACATGCAAATAGAAACGGATGAACGGGTCCCCCCCTTTGGAATGGGGGTCGTTTGGCTTCTTTGTTAGCCTGCAATGCCCCATACCTGTCTATGCCTCTGAAAGGGGGGTCGTTAGAGGGAATTGTTGGGAATTGTTAACGACCCCCCTTTCAGAGACATAGACAGGCACTACACTGCAAATAAGTCATTTTTTCTTAAAATAAGTGCATTTGTTCTTGAATTGAGGAGATAAAGGAGACATTTTTTCAATGAAACAAGACAATTTACACTTAAAATATGAAAAAAAAAACAATTGCATTGTCTTATTTCAAGTGCATATCATCTAATTGTCTTATTTTAAGAGTAAAATGACTCTTTCCATTGGCATACTATCTCATTTACCTACTCAAATTAAGGGTAAATACACTTAATTTAAGAAATTTTTACTTATTTCTAGATCGTTTTTGCAGTGTAGGTGTTGCTTCGTCCAATCAGATCAGAGCAGTCCCAGATTATTAATGGTTAGAACTAAACCTAAATTCAACAGATTAATATTCTGGTTTACCAGGTCACAAAGATGCATAAATAAATCAAAATGTCATGGTTTAGATAAAAAAAATAGCATTTAAACTTGATTTTCCAAGATAAAACCCAGTTTAAAATGCTTAATATGAAACAAACATTTTCTTTCTTCTCTCCAAATGCTCTCAACAGGAATCCTGATTACGTTTTTGCTCAGGCTCAGGTCAAAGGACATTAGTTTGGCTATTATCTGGGTTTGTAAGAGTTGATGATCATGCCAGCGGCATTGCACACGGTGGCGCCACTGGTTTGCAGCGGTTAGATGACGTTTAGCTGAGCTAGGTTGTAGCTTTTCTGAACATTCATCTGTTTTTGCTTCTTGCAGCACTTTCCCTTTGCAGGTGCTTTTGTTCAAGCTTTACTTATTTATTCACAGGCCCCATATTTGTCTTTGCAGTACTTTTTGTATTTGCTGCATGTTTATGTGTCTGCAGAACATTTGCACCACTCGTCTGCCATCATTTGCAGGTTGTTAAAAACTCCAATTAGTTAAATATGGCTGTGAAACTGATTATATCTTTTATGTTTAACCATCATCACTTCAGCCTGAATAGTTTTCATATGGTTTAGTAGATTAAATAAAGACAACTCAGATCTTCATCTTTACGTTGCCAGGTTTGTTTCAATGCTACAAATAGGCAAAAATTTCTAGGGAGACATTTTTTATTAACTCGTCAACAACAGTACCCCACAGCATGATACTGCCACCGCCGTTCGTCTCCATTACAACGATGCATTCAGTATTATTTTTCTCCTGCACATACAGCGCTTTGCCAAAGATGTTGATCTCAAACTTGGTTTCATCTGAACAGAGCGCCGTCGTCCACATGTCTGCTGTGGGTTCAGAGCAAACATGGCTGCTTCTCTTGTCATTGTTCTTTGACGGACAGTTTGCTGAGCTGCACGGCTTACAGTGCATCCACACCAAATATGCACTGCAAAACATTTCATTCTAAAGAAGTCATTTTTTCTTACAATAAGTGCATTTTTTCTTAAATTGAGAAGGTAAGTGAGACACTTTGCCAATGAAACAAGACAATTTACATTTAAAATAAGGAAAAAACAATTGCATTGTCTTATTTCAAGTGCATATTATCTAATTATCTTATTTTAAGAGTAAGAATACTACTTCCATTGGCAGATAATCTTATTTATCCACTCAAATTAATGGTAAATACACTTAATTTAAGACATTTTTGCTCATTTCTAGATCGTTTTTGCAGTGTGATTTTCCAGAGAAATTGCTTTTGAGACAATATTAGTATTTTTTAAAGAAAAAATACTAATATTGTGCTATCACTGATGGACACATATATAAAGAGATTAAAAAGACAGGGAGTAAGTCTGTGTTTGTTATTACAGTTTGAGTTAAGTTCTCATCTTTTAAATAACAGGTACTTTAAATTTTAGATTTTTGATAAAAGGACGGATTTTTAAGTAAAGACATTCAAGTGAAAAATCTCTAATCATTATTTTAGAGTCAAATCCATCATCATAAAATGATGTGATTCCAGTCCCCACCTCTGGCGTTTAAAGTTTATTCTAATAATGTCTGTGTGATTTTGCCGCTTTAAACAGCCCTGATGTTTGAACTCATGTTTGTCATAAATATTGCTTTTATTTCACTGTTTGGAGTGTTTACTTCCCTACATCCTCTAGTCCAGTTTGTTCTTTTAAATTTGGGGATCCTTTTCTTCATCTCTGTGTCTGCAGATAATTTGAACAATGCTCTGGGTGCCATCAGAGTTCTTGGTGTGGAGCTGATCGAAGATGAACTCAGACCTCATTTGATCACCGTGCTGACAAACATCAAGGAGAAAAGTGAGTTGATTGTAGAGTTAATGTCTTACTTAAACCGGTAATTCAAGTTTGGGTTTTTGATTATCTTTAATAATAAATGAGCTGTGTTGCTGCCATCAACACCTTTGTTTCTAGATGTTGGAGCTTGGCCTGTTTTCCAGTGTAGTCCTGTTTCTCTGACTGTGACTAACTGGATGTGCTCTCTTCATCCTCTGACATGGGAGCTGGCTCGGAGCTCGTCTGCCTGGCTGTGTGTTTCCTGGACGGGGCCGCCTGTGGAGCTGGTTGACAGTTGCCTTTTGTATCTATGCTTCTTTTTCTATGTCTGCTTCTGTCTCCTTGAACCCCAGTCGGCCTCAGCAGATGGCCGCTCACACTGAGCCTGGTTCTGCTGGAGGTTTCTTCCTGTTCAAAGGGAGTTTTTCCTCTCCACTGTCGCTACAAGCATGCTTAGTGTGAGGGATTGCTGAAGAGTCAATGGGTCGATGCAATCAGCTGGTTTTCCTTAGATAGAAAACTTTGAATCAATCTGACTGGATGATCTGGTTGTTTTATTTCTATAAAGTGACCTGAGATGACATGATGTGTATTGGAGCTATAGAAATAAACTGAATAGAATTGAAACTCTCCCAATTTTTCTGAAAACATTCACAGACCTGCACTGATGAGGTCCATCCTGCTCAGAACAGCAAAATAACTCCCCCCTCTTTCTCACATAACTTTTAATATTGACACAGATTTTAATCGCGGCTTCTGGAGGCGGCTCACTGCAGCTGTCCAGGATTAAGAACAAACAACCGGACGCCATTTCAGTTTATAGTTATCATTATTAAAAAAGAAGAAGCAGGGCTGCTGGTGGATCATCTAGTTACATGATGGAGGGACAACTAGAGTTATTTAATGTAAACATCTGGTAGCGTTTAGCTGATGCTAACCCTCTGATAACTATGGGCTTTCCTGTTACCTGGTCTAGTTGATGAAGCTCTGGGAGCTTTCTGCATGTTTGGCCTCTGACACTCAATAGACTCAATAAATGCTGCATTAATCCTGCTTTATTTTTTCTTGAAAACTAAAAACGAAACACTACAAAATATTTAACAATTTGCTCCGATTCAGACATACGATTGAGTATTAGGGCCAAGCTAGAGATTCTTTTTATTTTTATTATTATTTCGAGAATAAAGTCGTACTATTACGAGGAAATATTTGTAACATTAGAAGAATAAGTTGCAAAATTACCAGAATCATTCTCTTATTTTCTCCTATCAGGTTGATGTATGATGACTTCATTCTGGCAGAATGAAGTCATCATACATCAACCTGTTTCAGAGAGAAAGCTTGGAGCTCCGCCCAGCAGATGACATCAGACCAGCTCCACCAGTCAGCAACCAGAGTCCACTTTGACATCCTGCCCAGTTTGATGCTGCTGCTAAAAGATTTCCTGATTTGTCAAACCGACGCTAAAGTAGAACTTCCCATGATTCTCCACCAGTGGCGGTTCTAGACCAAATGTACCAGGGGGCCAGGAGGGGGCCAGGGTGTTTTCATGGGGGCACAGAAAAGCATGAAATAAAAAACATGGCAAGGGATTCAAATGTATTAAGAGAGCTGCATGAAGGGAAATTTCCATTCAATGAGGTTGAATTAAAATTATATTTCTTTTAAGATCAAAATACATTCATAATTTAGGAATTTTACATATTTTTCTAGATGTTGGAGCTTGGCCTGTTTTCCAGTGTAGTCCTGTTTCTCTGACTGTGACTAACTGGATGTGCTCTCTTCATCCTCTGACATGGGAGCTGGCTCGGCGCTCGTCTGCCTGGCTGTGTGTTTCCTGGACGGGGCCGCCTGTGGAGCTGGTTGACAGTTGCCTTTTGTATCTATGCTTCTTTTTCTATGTCTGCTTCTGTCTCCTTGAACCCCAGTGGGCCTCAGCAGATGGCCGCTCACACTGAGCCTGGTTCTGCTGGAGGTTTCTTCCTGTTCAAAGGGAGTTTTTCGTCTCCACTGTCGCTACAAGCATGCTTAGTGTTGCTGAAGAGTCAATGAGTCGATGCAATCAGCTGGTTTTCCTTAGATAAAAAACTTTGAATTTATCTGACTGGATGATCTGGTTGAACTGTAAAATGCCTCGAGATGACATGATGTGAATTGGAGCTATAGAAATAAACTGAATAGAATAAATTTAAGGGGATTCAAAATGCCCAATGCTGTCAACTCTATGAGCAAAACCACACATCCTAACAACCACATGTACGTGCCTTGGAGAGAGTAAAACCTAGTCCACTAATGAGGATTGACAGCGTCCGAGCGGATCAGCCTCTAGGTTCTAGTCTTTAGTTGAACTTAAGCTGTATTTGTGTCCTGTAGCATGAGGACAACATGAGAGATCTTACTTTCCTTAAATCAGAAAGATCAACCAGAGGTTGAATAATGTTCTTTTTTAGACAAAACAGTATAATGTGGATCTTTGAAATTAGCAGAGATGTCAAGTAATAAAGTACAAATACTTCATTCCCTTACTTAAGTGGAAATGTTGGCCATCTATTCTTTACTGGAGGAATTATTTTCAGACAACTTTTTCCTTCTACTCCTTACATTTTTGTTTCATTTAAGTTCATTTTCATTATGGCTTGTTGGTATTTAAAAAAAATAAAACCCATCAAAATAATTAGATTCATCCAGACAATTAATTTCTTTGTGATTGGACTCGGTGCTGCCCCAACTTGTTGTTCACCACATAGCACAATAAATACCTGAGTGAAGTTGCCCCCCCCCCACCTTCTTCAAATCAGACACATTAGTGTCAAACGTTTGTGCAGCAAAGATTTTCGTTTGTGCCGCTATCGTTTTAAAGATATAAAGAAACATTTCTAGAGGTCATCAAAGGTCGACCAGCCCCCCCACCTTCCTCAAATCAGACGAAATGGGTGTCAAGTAACTCAGCTCCTTTTGTGCAGCAAAAATTTACATTGGTGCTGCTTTGGCTTTGAAGATATTAATGAAAATCTAAAGGTCAACCAGCCCCCCCACCTTCTTCAAATTAGACAAAATTGGTGTCAAACGTTTGTGCAGCAAAAATTTTCGTTTGTGCCGCTTTCATTTTAAAGATACAAAGAGATGTTTCTAGAGGTCATCAAAGGTCAACCAGCCCCCCCCCCCCCCCCCCCGTGATTTTCTTCAAATCTTCAAATCCAAAGCAGCACAAACGAAAATTTTTACTGCACAAACCAGCACAAACGGAGCCGAGTTAATTGACACCTATTTCGTCGGATTTGAATAAGGTGGGGGGGGGGGGGGGGGGGGGGGGCTGGTTGACCTTTGATGACCTCTAGAAATATTTCTTTATATCTTTAAAATGATAGCGGCACAAACGGAAATGTTTGCTGCACAAACGTTTGACACTAATTATGTCTGATTTGAAGAAGGTGGGGGGGGCCAACTTCACTCAGGTCAATAAATTTATTTTCAAGATGATACAAAGTTAAATTTGACTCTGTTACCCAGTGGCGCCACCAGGGGGTGGCCAGTGTAAATCGTAGCAGCATCAGTTCAGCATTTCATCCCATTATGCACAGCCAGCAACGTAACATGAAACATCAGACAATAAAAGGTGCTTACAGGTTTACATTATGTACATTATGTACATTATGTTTATGTTGTTTATTTTTATCTTTGATTTTATTGACCACATGATTTTTATGTTGTTTATTTTTATCTTTGATTTTATTGACCACATGATTTTTATGGTTGATTTTTATCTTTGATTTTATTTGCACTGTGTAGCACTTTGAGATTTTTCTTAATGAAAAGTGCGGTACAAAATTGGATTTATTATTATTATTATTATTATTACATCTGTAGAAGCAGTTTTATTGCCTTATATATATATATATCCTCACACGTGGCCCTATACTTACTTAGCAACAAAATAGTACATGTTGAAGTTCTAGTATGAGTCTTAGCAATAATAAAGTCTCTAATGCCTTATTCGTACGCAATTAGATGATGTATGAGGAGGTTTGGCAAAACAGAGAACATCTGTATAAACTAGCCCACGTGAATTCCAGTTCGACATGATATTCCTGTGCATGTGCAGTTACGTAATGCGATGTGGAAACTATAAATGCAGCCTGAAATGGACTGAAGGTTGGGGGATAACAGAATTTTGACGATGCGTTGCTGGATGTATGAAGTGTTTAAAGGAATAGTACACCCAAAACATGATTAGCCTTCATTTTCTACTCACCCCCATGCTGAACAACACTCTGGAGTACTTTTTTGATATCTCAAATGCATTTGGAGATCTGGGAGGCTTCTAGCTGTCTGCTGACATTCAAATAATGGAGGTCTATGGCGCCCGAGGCAGAAAGGTCCATAAAAGTCCACAAAAAACGTTTCAATATTCCTCCATACTGCTCGTCCAATGTATTCCAAGTTTCCTGAGTGGGTAGCATCCAGAATGTACTCGAAACAAAGTCATTTAGAATGTTTTTAGAGCATAAACAGTAGTGTATAGGATTTCCTGAAAGCGCGCACCTGCGAGTTCACGACGCTACGGAAGCCGGCAGACCAAACCAGCGCATTCAGCTCGGCAAAGAACTCCTGCTCTTCCTCAACACTGAAGTTCTCAGACATTTTTCTTTCGTTGTTTCTTTCTTTGCACAGGTAAACAGCACATTTCTTCTTCTACGCTTGCATTATCGGCAGAGCAGGCGTGAATGCGCACTTTCATCTGGTTTGGTCTGCCGGCTTCCGTAGACTCGTGAACGCGCTTTCAGGAAATCCTATAAACTACTGTTTATGCTCTAAAAACATTCTAAATGACTTCGTTTTGAGTAAATTCTGGATGCTACCCACTCAGGACACTTGGAATACATTGGACGAGCAGTATGGAGGAATATTGACGCGTTTTTTGTGGACTTTTATGGACCTTTCTGCCTCGGGCGCCATAGACCTCCATTATTTGAATGTCAGCAGACAGCAAGAAGCCTCCCAGATCTCCAGATGCATTTGAGATATCAAAAAGTACTCCAGAGCGTTGTTCAGCATGGGGGTGAGTAGAAAATGAAGGCTAATCATGTTTTGGGCGTACTATTCCTTTAAGACAGCTGTATGAATTCGGTTTTGTAATTTAATGTGTCCCCCCTTCTGGATGATAAAATGGTGTGAGTCGTGGCCCTCTTTCTGTCATAAGGGAATTCTACCAATGAGCTTCCATACATCAATAGTAGAGATTTCTATATCCTAGTTAGTATCCATGCATGCTTAAGCTGGGCGTACACTGTATGATTTTTTTTTTTGCCCTTTTTGGGACGATTTTCCAGTCGTGCGAGATTTATTCAATCGGGGCAACTTTCAGCCTGATGGTGCGTCATGTAGTGTAAAGGTGGTAACGAGAGGCGATAGGCCTCTCAGAAAATCAAACATGTTTGTTTTTCAGTCGGCCGTCGTAAGGTGGTCATGGGCAAATCTCTCAGTGGACGAACAATGATTCTTCTTCCCCTCAGATGTAAACCCAAAACTGACAGACTGTAGTAGCCATGTTTGCTCAGCCATGTCTTTGTCCGAATACGTCGTCGCCTTTTCTTTTTAGGGCTTTCAGCACAAAATTGCCAAATAGCCAAGGCAGCGCGTTTCACTCTAGTGAGCTTCATATTCCTCTTCTACTCGTTTGGCTTCCGTATAGACGAGTCCGAGTAGCGTCATCTCACTGCGGAGCTGAGTCCCACCTGGTTTTTAGACGTACAGTGTGAGCAGCAGAGATGGGAAGTAACGAAGTACAAATACTTCGTTACTGTACTAGTAACGAAGTATTAGTCTAGATTTTTCTGATATTTTTACTTTACTTTACTACTTATTTTTATGGCGACTTTTTACTTCTACTCCTTACATTTTTACACAAATATCTGTACTTTCTACTCCTTACATTTTAAAAAATTGGCTCGATACTTTAGTTTTGAATCATTTCAATGGAGTTACCGTTATTATTTTTCACGTCATCAATACCAAATCCAATCTAATTGGATGGGAATCTACGTTGCATTTGACGCACCACTACAAGATGAATGGACAGATTCGGCGGTATTCATTCGCGGCAAATCATTGCAGCTTGGTGGCGGTGGCGTTAGCATAGTAGCATGGACGACGAGATGATTGAAAATGAACACAACGGAGATCTAGTCCTATTGGCAGACATCCATTTAAAATGTAGGCAACGGCATGAAAAAAGTGGTTTCTACTTTTACTTTTATACTTTAAGTAAATTTAGCCTGTACTTTGTTACTTTTACTTGAGTAAAGAAGTTTAATCAGTACTTCCACTTTTACCAGAGTATTTTTTAACACAAGTATCTGTACTTTTACTCAAGTACGGAAAGTGAGTACTTTTGCCATCTCTGGTGAGCAGGTAGATCGCATCAGAACGTCGGGTCACATAGTGTGAGAACAAACATCGTGAGCTTTTAAAGCCTGCGGTTTCGTTGTACAGTGTGAGCTGTAGCTGCGTGCAACAATTGAAAAATGGCACAGTGTACGCTCACTTTCAGGGAGAACATGCAAACTCTGTCGAAAGACCCCGGGCAAGGAGTCAAACCCGTAACCCTCTTGCTGCAAGGCGGCATTGCTACCCACTGTGCCACTGAGCTGCTGTTACCATCAGTTATAAAACTAAGAAAATTAAGTCTAAGGATGTTATCATCTAGCCTGACGTAGTCCTACTCAATTCTAGTCAGAATGAGTCTGATGCTGCTCCATAGAGCTGTGATTATAGGGCGTGTTTTGAACGAACCAGGGAAAAAAAATGCCTCTGCACTCAATTGGATAGACCTACAACCAATAAGAGCAACGGAGTGCGTGATGTATGTTAAGCGACGCATAGTTGTTGTCAACAAAAATCAAAGCGTGCAGTTGCACGCCTAGAATAAGAAGATGAGCCTTGATCGCGTTTCTCTGTTCCTCTTTTAAAATTAATTTGCTGTCGATATTTTCTAGAACAGACCTAATAGCAGAATCTACACACCTCAACTCTCCAGCGGCAGCCATTGTTGTTGTCACCCAAGCGCGCTTTGGTCACATGGTTGATTATGTTACTGTTGATCATCTGTCCATCATCGTATAAAGCCCGCCCTGACAATTTGATTGGATCGCAAGAGAGTGGGCGATAATACTCGCGCTACTATGGAGCAATGCCAGACCGAACTTCCCGACCTCAAACCTTGTGGGCGGGACTAAGTTCGGAATAGCACCCAGGATAGTTATCATCCAGAATTGTAGAAAAATGTTCCTGTAATAGTGTAGTGCATTAAAACTTCTGGCCTTAAAATTTTTTTTTTCCTTCATTACTTTTACTTTTATACTTCAAGTGGTTTTAAAAATAGTACTTTTACTGGAGTAAAAGGCTTAAGATGATCCTCTAACTTCTACAAAAGTGTTTTTAAACAGTAGGATTTCTACTTGGGTAATAAATAAATTTGTCAGCTCTGCAAATTAGCTGCCTCATTTCTGTATGCCGTGTTTTTTAAATGCAATTGTTTCTGTGTCCAGAGAAGGGTGCTGCTGAGCAGGTTGTGATTAGTGGGATCCTGCCCATCCTGGCCCTGTCTCTGAGAAGCCGAGGTCCTCTGACTTTGCTGACTGCAAAACTGGTGGCAGAGCTTGCCAAAGAATGTAGGTCGCTCACACAGACGTCAGCATCCCTCAATGACTGAAGGAAGCCATACTTTCTGTTTACTGAGGCTTCTTGTTTCCTCAGCTGTGGTTCGTAAAGGTTTCGGCGACGCAGGCTTGGTTACAGCCCTGATGTCGGTTCTGACCAGCACAAATGAAGAGCTGCTGATCTATGCAGCCAAAGCCATCTCACGCATGTCTTATGACAGCTGTAAGTCAAATCAGATCAATAATCACCAGGCAGCTTTTCTCTTTTAGTTTTACATCTCCTAATGCAGGAGATTACAAGGTGTGATCAAAACACAGTCTATAACATATAACATACATTTTCGCATTAAACAACATTATTTGGTTTTCATTTTTTTCAACCGGTGTTGATTAGAGGGGAATAGTCTCATTATATGACCTCAAAAGTAGCAGCTTCTGAATCATTACCGTTTCCTTCTGGTGTTTTAGTTGTGTTCTTGCTTTGTTTTTGCTCAATTTGTTTGTAAATAAAGCACTTCTGTTTATATTTACCATAAACCAAAGGTACGACCTTGGACGTGAAACACTAGTAAAGAAGCCAAAACAAAGCACATGAGCGAGTGTAGAACAGAATGCTGCATGAACACTGGGTTTCACTAAAGCTGGGCATAAACTACGATTTTTATCAATCGTTGAATGCAGCTACAGCTCAAACTGTACAACGAACACGCAGGGTTAATCCATCCATCCATTCATTCATCCATCCATTATCCATCCATCCATCCATTATCCACCCATCCATCCATCCATCCATCCAACCATCATCCATCCATCTATCCATCAATTATCCATCCATCCATCCATCCATCCACCCATCCATCCATCCATCCATCTATCCATCCATTATCCACCCATCCATCCATCCATCCATCTATCCATCCATTATCCACCCATCCATCCATCCATCCATTATCCATCCATTATCCACCCATCCATCCATCCATCCATCCATCCATCCAACCATCATCCATCCATCCATCCATCTATCCATCCATTATCCATGCATCCATCCATTCATCTATCCATCCATCCATTCATCCAAAATCCATCCATCCACCCATCCATTATCCATCCATCCATCATCCATCCATCCATCCATTCATCCAAAATCCATCCACCCATCCATCCATTATCGATCCATCCATCCATTCATCCAAAATCCATCCATCCATCCATCCATCCATAAATCCATCCATCCATCCACCCACCCATCCATCCATCCATCCATCCACCCATCCATCCATCCATCCATAAATCCATCCATCCATCCATCCACCCATCCATCCATCCATTATCCATCCATCCATCCATCCATCCATTCATCCATTCATCCAAAATCCATCCATCCACCCATCCATCCATCCATCCATCCAACCATCATCCATCCATCCATCCATCCATCCATCCATCCATCCATCCATCCATCCATCCATCCATCCATTATCCATCCATTATCCATCCATTATCTATCTATCCATCCATCCATCCATCCATCCATTATCCATCCATCCACCCATCCATCCATCCATCCATCCATCCATCTATCCATCCATTATCCATCCATTATCCATCCATCCATCCATTCATCCAAAATCCATCCATCCATCCATCCATAAATCCATCCATCCATCCACCCACCCATCCATCCATCCATCCATCCACCCATCCATCCATCCATCCATCCATCCATCCATCCATAAATCCATCCATCCATCCATCCATTATCCATCCATCCATCCATTCATCCATTCATCCAAAATCCATCCATCCATCCATCCAACCATCATCCATCCATCCAACCATCATCCATCCATCCATCCATCCATCTATCCATCCATTATCCATCCATTATCCATCCATTATCTATCCATCCATCCATCCATCCATCCATCCATCCATTATCCATCCATCCACCCATCCATCCATCCATCCATCTATCCATCCATTATCCATCCATTATCCATCCATCCATTCATCCAAAATCCATCCATCCACCCATCCATTATCCATCCATCCATTATCGATCCATCCATTATCGATCCATCCATTATCCATCCATCCATTATCGATCCATCCATTATCCATCCATCCATCCATCCATTATCCATCCATCCACCCATCCATCCATCCATCTATCCATCCATTATCCATCCATTATCCATCCATCCATCCATCCATCCATCCATCCATCCATCCATCCATCCATCAATCCATCCATCCATCCATCAATCCATCCATTATCAATCCATCCATTATCCATCATCCATCCATCCATCCATCATCCATCCATCCATCCATCCATCCATCCATCCATCCATCCATCCATCCAGCCAGCCAGCCAGCCAGCCAGCCAGCCAGCCAGCCAGCCAGCCAGCCAGCCAGCCAGCCAGCCAGCTATAAGAAGATATAAAAGGAACTTATTTATTGAGGAGTTAATGCTTTCAACTAAATAAATGTTGGATTGTTGTTAATCTTAAACAGATTTTTGTGTTTAAATGCTGTAATGGTGGTTAATTCTTATTTTCATTTTTATTTTTCTAAGCTAAACTGCAGGAACTGCTGCTACGTCGCGGCGCTGTGCCGCGTCTGGTCGCCATCTTGCTCCGTTTCCCTGACAGGGAGGTCCTGGAGGAGGTTTGCCTCATGGCTCTCTGTAACCTCAGTGGCATGTCAGTGGCAGAGGAGGCCGGGATGATTTGGGAGAGAGGAGTGCCAGTGAGGCTCGGGGAGTGCGTGTTTCACGGGGTTTCACCCCACACCTGCGGCTTCGCCTCTTCTGTGACGCTGGTTCGGGTTTCTCAGTGGGGACCCGGCCAGTACATGGTCAGCATCGAGGATTTCCAGCGCTGCTCCTCCTCCTTCTGGAACCTTCATGGGAACAAACGGGCCCTACACTGGTTCCCCTTCCTCAGCTTGGGCAACTGTTCAAACATGTTTAAAATGATCAAGTTCTCTACCAGGAACATTCCTCGGACAAAGAGTCTGAAGACGCGTGTGTTCCACACTTTACTGTGAGAGCTTTAAAACATGGCGGCCTTAGCAAATGTACTACTATACTGAACACAAACAGTAGCTGTGTCTGAACGTCCGCCCTAAACCCCTAAACCCTCCATCATTATAGAGCAAGAACTATATAGTGGACTTTATAGTCAACCGACCCTTCGGACAGATGATCACTACTTTTTGCTCAGTTGGTCACGTAGCTCCTCCTCCCTGCTCGGTCCCTGCACCATCGTTCTTCTTTATCACCACCCCAATAAATACCATAATGCTTTGTGGGGAGAGCTCTCGCAAAGCATTATGGGATATACCTTTTCAACTGTGTTTGAGATTGGAAGGCCTATGATGTCATAGCTCGGCGCCAAGGTCTGGTCGGATTCCAAGACCTTAAAATGCGTCCTTCTGTTTGCCCGATTTGAAGGACCGGTCCGATGTATCCTCGCTATCCTTGGTTTTCCCAGGATTCATTGCGAGACCAAGCAAGCCGTGATCAGAGGAAAGGTTACTTGGCGCCAAACAGTGGTGAATATTGGAAGTTCAGTTTAATATAATCCAGTCAGTGAATAGTTCCGTCTGAAATGAATGAAAATAGTTGTTTTAATGGTTATAGAGTCAGATATGTGGCGGTAATGTTTGGTTTATCTAAAAGTTTTTATCTGTTACTGATTAAATGGGTTTGGCTGGAATTTAAGGATAGATTCTATTATATCTGCAGTGGGAATATAAATCTGATAGGAGTTAAATTTTGTATTGCTATTTTTCCGAATTTGCTTAACTAAGTCTTGTTGTTGAATATTACAGATTTTGCAGATATATTTTTTTATACATACACTGTTTAGATTTACTTATATATTTCTACCCCTTTTATAGAATAGAATAGAAAATCTCTTTATTGTCCCACAATGGGCAAATTCTGGTGTTTACAGCAGAAAAACAATTATAGAAAAAAAATGGTCACACAAATGTGGACCTTAGAAAAATGTATAAGAATAACATAATAGTGAAGAGTTAAAATATAAACAATAAAATAGTGTAAAGTGTTTTAACAATATAAAACTGGATAATAAATAAGCAATATCCAGCTATTTTCACAGTAATGGATATTTGAAAATAGCAGCAACATCAGAAATGTGCAAAATGACAGCAGCATGTTATTTAACTGACTAAGGTTTCTATCATTACATTTGCTTTTATTTGTTCCTGCTCCCGGTGGTTGGAACCTTTATTCCACTCTGGATTCTCATAAGTGTAGTGTTTTTTTCACTTTACAATAATAAAAAAAGAAAACACAATTTGAAAGAAACAGTTTGGAAAGTTCAGTATTAATTATTTTCCTGCTTTATGTGTCAACTGTCAGGGTTGCTAGGCAACAGAACGTACAGGCCGTGAAAGCCGTGGAAGGCTGGACCTGTTTGAATTCACAGCCAAAACTCTTCCGCTCTCCTTACTTTCAAGGACTTTGAAGGATCCAATCCAGGTAGACGCGTCCTTGGAGGACGCAGCGCATAAATTCAAACACAGCCTCGTGTAGTGACTATGGATGATCACTACTTTTGGAGGTGCGTTGTGGGAAATTTCAAGTCCACTACTTTTTTATGACACTCATTTAAAATGGCGTAAGCACTATATAGTTCCTTTTATAGCGGTTAGGGCGGATGTTCGGACAGTTACATCATATATTTAGAAAGAGCGTCTGCATTTTGTTGTCTTGTTTTCTTTTTTTTCTTTTTACTAAACCTGAATGTTTTGAATCCTCTATAAAATCTCCAGTTAAGACAAAAGTTTATTGTTTTGGATTCTGTTAACCTGGACACCCATACTTTACCTGCTTAAGTGCATTTTCATCATCCCTACTGGCTCTGATTCCTTTTCCTTCACCTAAGAGAACATTTTTTGAAATACCACTTAGCAAAAAAACAAAAGTGTTGTACCTCTAGTAAAGGTGTGTATTAAACTTTTAATATATTTCATTCTCTTAAAGATTTTTTTTCTGTTTACTTCTATAGCCTCATTTCACAACTCTTAATTTGAAGATATTTTACAGAGACAGCTCAGATAATCCAGTCAGTTCCAGACTACGGAAAACCAGCTTGCTTCCACACTGCAAAAACCATCTAGAAATAAGTAAAAAATTTCTTAAAATAAGTGCATTTACTCTTAATTTTAGTAGGTAAATAAGACGATTTGCCAATGGAATGAGTATTTCTACTCCTAAAATAAGACAATTAGATAATATTCACTTGAAATAAGACAAAGCAATTGTTTTTTTCTTATTTTAAATGTAAATTGTCTTGTTCCATTGGCAAGGTGTCTTACTTATCTCCTCAATTCAAGACAAAATTCACTCAATTTAAGCAAAAATAACTCAGACAGATTTCCATTTTTTGCAGTGCAGTCATTGCCTGTGCAGATTTATGGGATGAAAAATCTCTTAAAAGTTCTTTACTTGTAGTAATTTCTTAAGAACCGAGCCTCAACACGCACCTTTATTATTTGAACAGCATGTTTTCTTGTCTTTCCTGTTTTTAAAGGTAAGAGGAAGAGATTGGACTCTGTGTGCCACATGTTGTACCCCAGATAGCACACTAAGAGTGGATCAGTTGGAAACAAAACAAATCAAATCATCTAGTTGGTTAAATCAATTTTGATTAATTTAAATAATATATTGGTCAAAAACCCACCAAGCCATTGATTTCAAATCAACCAATTTAAATTATTAACCCAACAACCAATAAAGATGGTAAGTGATGGTTCACTGATCTGACTGTTCGGCTTCAGTAAAGCATTCTGTGACTGTGATGTGTTCAAGTACAGTATGCAAATCTGGGCTTTAACTGTGGTTAGTATTAACTATTAGTAAATTCCAGGAAAAGTTAGTGATGTTGGATGTAGGAGTTATTCCTGCAACTTAAGGGTTGAGGGTTCAATCCCTGGTCCTGGCTTTGAATATTTTTTTACAATAATTAGCCAATATTTTCCTCAAAGTGACCAATTTAAATTGGTTAGTCCTTTTACCAACATAGATTGGTTAAAAAAACAAATTAAATATTGGTTGGACGCAGAACTATCAACCAGATTGGGAAAATTCAACCAATCTGTTTGTATTGACTAAACTGTTTTAGGGTGCAGGACGTTCTGGGTAGTTAATTCAAAGTATAAAAAGAGAAAGAAAATATCTGCTTATGTATTAAATTGGAAGGAGAGCGACTAAATGTGTTAAATCTTTTTTTGACATTCCTTTTTCTCCCCCATTGATTAAATTCACACATTTTAAAGAATGTAATTTTCTACGTTCATCAGTGAATAAAACAATTAATATACCATATTTACATTAAGCAGGTGAAATAAAAGTTCATTTTACATTTAGGCTTTTTACAGGTTATAGTTATGCATGGTAATGTAACAGTACAGTGGTAGTCATTCAAAATTCCCCCACTTTCCTCTGCTGGTTCCCTAAGATTCCTTTTTTAAACATCAATCTTTGTACTAAAATATTCTTTCTGTCATGATGTGTGGACATTCAGATCTAAAGAGAAGCGCCATCTCCTGGTCAGAGCCTGTAATTCAGTGAAAAGGTAAAGTCAGAGTAAAAATAATGAATAAGGGGGTCACTGCAGGGGCTGGACGTTTGCTGCCATTCGGCTGCACTGGAAAAAATCGACATCTAGATAAGTCATTCTATCTTAAAATAAGTGCATTTGTTCTTGGATTGAAGGGGTAAAAGAGACATTTTGCCAGTGGAACGAGATAATTTAGACTTATAATAAGAAAACAAAATTGGTTTGTCTTATTTCAAGTGCATAATATCTAATTATCTTATTTTAGGAGTAAAAATACTCATTCTATTGGCAAACTACCTCATTTACCTACTCAAATCAAGGGTAAAAACACATAATTTAAGAAATTTTTGCTTATTTCTAGATTGTTTTTCCAGTGTGCCGTTTGACTGGGAAGGGACATTTTGAATGTATATCAAAACAGGACATTTTGCAGTTTTCATGGCACCTCAAGCTTCTTATAAGCAACTCAATTAGTAAAGGTAACCACTAGATGGCATAACTGTGCCAGGGAAAGACCACACATAAGGCCGAGGCTTTATTTCTGATGCACGTCAGCATGTATGAGAGTCAGTGGAGTCAGTTAAGCATCTTGTCTGGGATTTGATTGGTCTTGTTTAAACATAAGAAATCTTATGATGCGTTCTAACCCCCCCTTACACTATAAATGTCTTGAACACAAATTAAAACGTTTTAGTTTTTCCAGTCTCTCCCCCTCGCTTTGTCTAATTGCTTCTCTTATTGGTTTCATCCCGCCTCGGGCGTCTAAACACCCGGCTGCATCCTGTAATCAATCCTAACTTTATTACTCCGGGAACCACTTTAATTTTTAATGTCAGATAAAATGAGAACTTGGAAATATTTACAGGTATAGTGAAGGTTGTGCCCTGATTTAGGAGATAAACCACCAGAAAATGAGGACAAATGGTATTAAATACTAATAATTGATGTTAAATATTAGAATTAAGAATGGGAGGAATGTCTTTGACCTTTTCATTTCTTTCCCTGGTGATAATGACTTTCTGTCTGTCACCGAGAAAAGCTGAAAAACAAGGAAAGGAAACTATATGAGGATAAAATGTCAGGCCTAAACAAACAAACTTTCTTAGTTCCTGAAAGTCATCTCTTTGGGAAGTAGTTCTCGAAAACATTGTATTATTAATAAAGTTTAGCACTGGTGTGTTTGTATTCATCTCCGTTTGCTTGTATCTCTAATGACTTTAAATCAAATCTAAAAACGTCATTTTATTTAAACAAAATCTGAAACTTAGTAAGATTTAACTCAACATGTCGATAAACAGAAAATTTCAAATCTTATTGAAGATTATTTCATCTTGGTCTGGGCGGTTAATACACCAGTATGGTTCTACTGAAACCATTTCATTTCTGCTCTGGCTGTACTGGATATTAATGGTCAGGTGAAGACAAATTAATCAATCAACAATCTATCCGTCCGTCCATCCATCCATCCATCCATCCATCCATCCATCCATCATCAAATCCATCCATCCATCCATCTTCGAATCCATCCATCCATCCATCCATCCATCCATCATCAAATCCATCCATCCAT